GTGTTGGAGGAGATATAGTCATTGCGTGAATGAGATGGCTAGCAGTGGAAATTCATAAATCATAATTAATGAAAGGGATTGGAAGAGACAAGAGAGAGGCAATTGGCAGTGCAAGTGAGAACGATTTACTATTTGTGGTATTTTTTTTGTAAATACTAGTAATTTTCTAAATTAAATCATCTATAAATTTGTTCACTGATTCACATGTATTCACAAAATTGCAAGAGAGGTAGACATAAATCCTAATTCCTAACTCTATTTGCACCATTTAGGGTTCTTACTGTTTGACTCAATTGAAGGAAGGGACGTGATTTGTTCCATTTTTCCCACTATTTGCGCCAATATCAGAAATGTTGAAATCCAAAGAATGGTGCAATATCTTTGCTCAATCGAAAGGAAGCAACACTTAAGTCTCGGGTCTTTCGCTTGGTTTTGAGAGAGGCGAGGCTGCCTACGTCACTTTAGTTCCCAAACAAAAAAACATTTATTATATTTTGCTTATGTCCTTCTATGTAATTTTGCAGTAGGCTAAACTTGTTACGAAAATTTTCATTGAAAAATGGGTGGAAAAATAAGACAATATTATTGATGTAGGCCCCCGTTTGGTATTGCATTTTTAGAGTAAAAACTTCTTCATTAAGTAGTAAAAAAAGTGTTTGGTAAAAATAAAATTTTATGCTTAAAGCAATGGTCTCCAGACAGTAATTTTTATAAAAAACGGAGCTAAGCCTTTAGTACATATTTTAAGTCTTGTAATACCCTCATTAATTTTTCAAGTAACATTATTTTCCTTCTACATATATTTATATCTTATCCCTTTGAGAACAAAGTAACTGCCACCACCTATCACTACAATCACTAGCCTTACATTATCATTGCCATTACCACCACCATCAGCCACCATAATCCTCACCACTATTGTCGCCGTCACCACTAGCATTAGAATTGCCATCACCACCACCATCGTTGTTGTCACCGTCGCTATAATCATCACTACCGCCACAACCACAACCGCTAGCACTGTTGCCAACAATTCTACAAACATTTTAACTTGTGCACCCCAACCACCACACCTCATTATTGGCAACACCACCATACCCTTTCAATTATTGTTGCCATCATCATCACCACCATTGGTCCCACTACCACCGCCACTACTAATGTCATCACCTTCACCTTCACCTCCACCGTCAAGGCAAAAAAAGGTAACTAAAATGAATGACGCGTGTTCACAATCTCTTTTACAAGTTTGCAAGTCCTTTTGTCGACAAGTTGTGATGGGTTGTAGAAATCCATATGCAGAGGAGACTTTGAACTAAGCGTCTTCATGTTCCATCACAATCCATAACTTATCATCTTATTTACTGTTCTTTTCTTCTGGTAAATTAAGAAAACGGATTTAGCTATGTTTTATATTAGTAGCGATATTTTAAACTAATTCATCTGTAAATTTGTCCATTGATTCACATGCATTCACGAAATTGCAAGAGAGATAGATAGAGACAGAACCCTAATCCCTAACTCTGTTTGCACCATTTAGGGTTCTTATCGTTTGGTTTGATTGGAGAATGGGACGTGATTTGTTCCATTTTTCTCACTATTTGCGTCTATACCAAGAATCGTTCCTTAAATCCTAAGAATGGCATAATATGTTTTCTCAATCAAAAGGAAGCAGTACGAAAACTTGGATTTTTCGCTTGGTTTTGAGTTGGGTTGGGTTGTGAGAAGCGGTGGTGTGCTAGAGAGATATAGAGAGAGACGGGGTCACCTACGTCACTTCAGTTCCCAAACAAAAAAAACTTTCTTTATATTTTACTTATGTCCTTCTATGTAATTTTTCAATAGATTAAACTTGTCACTAAAACTTTCGTTAAAAAGTGGGTAAAAAAATTAGGCAATATAGCAGACATAATAGCACTCCTTATTTTTTGGTTTCTATTTTGGTGCAAGGTGAAGCATGTATTTTGTGTATAGCAATGGCTAACTTAGCGTGCTCAATATGCTTGAATTATGATTAAAGTGGTGATAAAAGTTGAAAAAGTGATGTTATTTCTAGGGGTGGTTTTGGTACATTACCGTACCAAAACCTCTGTATTCATACCACATATTTGGTACGTTAAAATCTATTACCATTACTGTACCAAACTTTGGGTATACCGAATATTGGTATACCAAATAGTTTGGTTGGTATGGTATGTCAATGGTAATTGCCACTTTATTTTACGCCACTTAGTTTGCGCAAAATCTAATATTTTTTTAATTAATGTTGAAGTGTAAAAAATATAGAAAAAATATATAAATGCTCGTAATGACAAACTTTGCAACTTTCATGAAGAGCTGAACTTTGAAATTCGCCATTATAATCATATAAATCATAGATCAAAATTTAATCGTTGATTGCTGTTTACATTTAAGCTTCATTTTTCTCGTCAAATTTTGTTTTGTTTTTTTTTTTTTTCGGATTTTCTGTTTTGAAAACATGATCTATTAGAGGATGCAGGAAGATGAACGGTTTAGATCGTTGATATTATGTTCAGAGTTTTACAGTTAGTGAAAATATTGCTTGATGTTTATAAAGTTTCTACAAACTATATGACATCGACTCGTATTTCAGTTAACCGTTAATATCAAAATGTGATATCAAAGATCTAAACCGTTCTTCTTCTTACATCTGCCAGATGATCATGTTTTCAAAAAAGAAAATTTTAAAAACGAAATTCAGTAAGAAAAATAAAGCGTAAATGACAATCGATGGTTAAATATAAATTTAAGGTTTATGAATTATAGTGTTGGATTTTGAAGCTGATCTCTTTATAAAAGTTGTAAAACTTGTCACTACGAGTGAATGTATATATATAATTTATTTTTTTTACATTTTTTACACTTCTACAATAATTATTATTAATTTTGCCCTCAAATAATTATATGAATAAATACATAATATAATATTAATAATATTGGTAGGTACAGTATATCACCGGTATTGGTTTTGGATACCAATACCGTACTGAAATAATATGGTACGGTACAAATACCGTACCATTACCAATTGGTACAAATTTTTGGTAATAATTTGGTATGATATGATTGGTAGGACGGTTGGTACGGTAATTTGGTAAAAATTCCCATCCCTAGTTGTTTCCCCTCCTCAGATGCTTCAACCTATGCTTGTATTTCGGGGAAGAGGTCAATGCTTGACTAAACCTAACCCTTGGGTTATTTGCAAGAAGCTTCCCTTTGGGTTTTATGCATATTAGATACATTGATGCAATATAATTTTTTTGGCAATTCCATTGGGTTTTAAAGATTGTAAGAGATTAAGTGAAATGGTTGTCTTCTAACCCCAGCTTTTCCACTCAAAGTGCATTTTTATGAGCATTACTGCCACATGAATTGTTGTCGATGAATGTGATCAGATTTGTCTAGTACTTAAATCTCAAAACCTAAACTAAACCAATCGTAATTAATATAGTCGTAATGCTCACAACCACTAAGGATCGTGAGTAAAATGCACTCTTATTCTTCTAACCCCAACTTTTCCACTCAAAGTGCATTTTTATGAGCATTACTACCACATGAATTGTTGTTGATAAATGTGATCAGATTTGTCTAGTACTTAGATCTCAAAACCTAAACTAAACTAATCATAATTAATATAGTGGTAATGCTCCCAACCACTAAGGATCGTGAGCAAAATGCACTCTTCCATGCAACTAGTAACATAGTAGAAAGCAACCAAATGCTCTTCAACAAGAAAAATTAGTGAAATATACTAGAACATATCCACATAGTAGATAACAGGCTCGCATGTTATATTATAAGTGGACGACCTAATTTATACTTTAGAATAAAACATTAATAATCAATCCACATACTGTATGAGAGAATTAGTATATCCCGTGTCTGTGTTCCTGCATACTGCAATATCCTTTCTTCTTTCTTTGAAAGACCATAACAATTGAAGCCCCAACAAAATACTGTGTTTGTCTTCAGTCAATGGCGAAGTCAAGAATTGTCAAGGGAATGAGCACAATTTAAAAGGGTAAAGGAAAAAAAAAATGCAGACAACCAAATCCTAAACATCAAGCTAATTATTCTAACAATGTGTTTACAAATCTGTAATCGGGTAGCATTGCAAGTAGTACATCTCAAACATAAACACAAACACAAATAATGACAACCCCCGACCAAAGAAAGACTGAAAGAGAAGAGGGAATGCATGTAAAATCAAAAAGTGAATTCTTATGAAATGCTAAATTGCAAACCCAGCAACCATTGACATGCCCTTGGAGCACTTGGAAAGCTGGAAATTTCATCAATCTCAGAAGCGGCTAAATTGTCAGCTCCACATTCAACCCATTTTCTCTTCCCTTCATCCAATCCGTACACTTGCAACCTCCTAATCAACTTAGAAATTACAACAAATGACAATCACCACCCATATATGTATACATTGAAAAACTCACCTTAAATACATCATCACACAAACCTAATCAGATCATCAGTTACCCACATAGGCTGCTATTTCTTCGCCTTAAAGATTCTATGTTCTTGCTCAGCTCCTCCAGCTTCTTCATCCTCGTCTTCTTGTTGTACTTTTATGCTCAAACGGAAGCTAATTTTAACAAAGTACAAATATCAACGTCGTAGGTGAAAACTAAAACAAACAATCTCAAACGAACACAAGAGACTTACGTGGTTTAGCGTAAAACCTACATCCACGAGCGAAGCACGGTGAGGAATTTCACTAAACAAACGGAGATTACAAAAGAGTGCTTAAACTCTCACAACCCAAATCCCACAAATTACAAACCTTAAACCAAACGAGTAGAGAACCCAAACAAACTGAGAAGATTCTCCCAAATTGCTCTCTAACTCACAAATTGACTCTCACCAAGTTGCCACACAAATGAGCCACGTGTTTGCCACGCACTCATTATTCCAAATGGGTTGTGGGGGTAGGAGTAGAAAATGCAATCGTTCCGTATAGAGCCGAGTACTGAAGAAAAATTGAACAAAATACACTCCATTTGTCCCAAAATCACTCATAAAACTTTACATTATTACATAAATATCATGGCCTTTGCAATCCATAAAAAGTTAGAACAAAGAATAGGAATAAATTCAAAGAACCCCACATTACACTAGGAAGTAGGGTAGTATGTGTTTGGATACAAGGAAAAATGAGAAGAAAAATGGAAGGCCAGGTGCTTTTAGTTACAAACCTGTTTAAATTTAAAGGTTATTTTCCTGCCTAAATCAGCCAAACGTTTTTACCAAGCACAAATTAAGGAAACAAACCAACTTAGAAATTACACCAAATGCCAATCACCACCCATATATGTAAACATAAAAAAAACTCACCTTAAATAAATCATCACACAAACCTAATCAGATCATCAGTTACCCACATAGGCTGCTATTTCTTCACTTTAATGATTCTATGTTCTTGCTCAGCTCCTCAAGCTTCTTCATCTTTGCCTTCTCACTTTCGCTCATCAGCTGCATCAAATGTTACACGACAACAAAACAATCTCAAAACATTGAATTATATAAGCACTATAAACGCTTTTACTGAATCGAAATATAATGAGTGATAACTAGCATCGGTTGAGAGGTTGGATGGGTTTAACTCCTACCCGGAGGTAAGCCCAAATTTTGTAGGATTGGTAATTTGTCAAACCAGGCTCAACCGTGCTCACTCTAACTCCGAACTGGCCAGACTGGTTTGAGTTCAACCGATCCATGAAATTGCAAACCCGCTATGCCAAGTAAAAATTTGTTTAACAAGCTAACCTCCATTAGCTTTGTGATAAGCTGCACTTTTTCTCTGTTCTTTTCATTGAAAGCCTCAAGTGCATCTCTGTATTCCTTTTCCTGTGACAAGTTACAAACCCGAAATTCATCACGAACAGACACGAATTGATCCATAATTACATATGCATAGCAGTAAACATTAACATCTGAATGTGGTAAAAATCCAAGTTGTGTTACCTTCTTCTGGCAGGTATGTCCTAGTGACTTTAACTCTTTGTTAATCGCATTGATCTTCTTATGAACTTGTGAAACATCCTTCCTCATCGGATCTGAGAGCCCTTCAAGCTCCTGGAAGTTCCATAATTTACGACAAAAAGGAAATTAATCATCTACTAATTGCTAGCAACGGATTCAACGGCTATATTTCTGGTTTAACCAGCAGAAGATGAAGCACATGGGGTACATAAATTTTCAACAAGGCATCCTCGGACATATATACTTGTCCCAGACATAATCAAATGACTAAATAAACCCTGATCATATGACAAATTTGAGGGTTTTGAGAAGGAAGAGAATCTGTTTTTTGCCATATCAAAAAGTTTAAACTTTGTTGTTGAAATTTCTTAGCTAAATTCCATATTTTGTTGTGTACAGAACCCCAGATTTACTCTGTTAGCTGAGACAAACAGATAATTGATTCTCTTGAAAAAATATCTGCGAATCAGTAAAAAAAATGGAATACTTCCATCAAAGAGTTCATGGCCTTTGTAAATACATTAAACTGAAAATTCAAAATCAAAAATCCAAAACAAATTAAGTTGGAAAAAAACCCAAACAGAAAATATTGTAGCGTTCAAATGCATTGCTACACAAATCAAAATTTTATTTTCTATGGATATGGCAGTTTTCTTCATGTAATAAAAGTCAACAACATTTAAATACAGAACTCAAATAAATACGGTAAAATGATACAAAGAATGACATAGTTAAATGGATTTAATTTGGAGATCTATGAGATTAGAGAATGAAGTCACTGAATTTAGAAAACCCACACTGCAAACTTTTTATCTGCTCAATGAGAAAATATAATTATCCAGCAGTACAAAAATTATTAGCGTCGGACCAAATGCGGCTCGAAAATTGTTTTACTGACAAAAATTCATAAATTATTGACAAAAAAACTCTTACAAAATCGATATTAAATTACATTTGAATATGAATGAGGATAAATGGTTGATACTCATAATTGTGTTCACTTATCCATAACAAAATTTAAAACAAATAACGAAAACTGATTATTGAAAACAAATAACGCATAAATACCTGTCAATCTATAAAATAAAACCAACCAATACTCGATACCAAAAAAGGTAAAACTACAAATGATAAAGATCAGTCCTTTGCAAAACCAACCATTGCATTTACCAAAAAATGAAATAAAAACAAAATCTAACAACCAAAAAAGATGTGTACATGCAGTAGAAAGCTTGTAAGAGTTCATTCATCGGCTAAAATTCAAAATTTCAGATGGACCAATTACACCATTTCTATAAAATTTCAGTTATGGGATTCCTATTGAGCAAAATTAATATGTTAGGATAGAAACAAGTTCTTACATATTTCAATAAATCCATAAAAATGGTTCCTTAGTTAACAATAAATGTTTTTTTGTACCAAAAACGAAGCAATGAAATAAATGTTTTACATGTGTCATTTGTGTGTCCTCGGCTCTCTCTCTCTCTCTCTCTCTCTCTCCCCCTCCTCCTCCCTCTCTCTCTCTCTCTCTCTCTCCCTCCCTCCCTCTCTCTCTCTCTCTCTCTCTCTCTCTCTCTCTATGGCTTTCTTACTACACATAAATATCCCTAATTAAAGCATGCCACACATCAGCACATTGCTATTATATGAAGTATATTCCTTATTGGCAAGTAATATACTCTCCTTGGCCCAAGAGGATATGAAATTGTTGAGTACATTGTTCTAGCCATTTGGATCAATAAGCCCAAGTTTGCATTGTACAAAACCCTAAATACTCAGACATATGAAATCCAATCTTCCACTTTACAAATCACATATGGGTAAAATAATAGCTCTGAAGAAATCGGAAGAAGTAAAAGGCTTTAGAACGCAAATATACCTGAGGTGCCAAAATATGGAGTTGAGGAAGCGTTTTCTTCTTATTTTGAGGGAAGAAGAATACAGCTCTGAATTTGGACCCATTTTCTTAACAAGCGGTTCCTATAGCCCATAAATTTTTAGTGTCGTTCAAAATCACAAATACGCCAGATGAATTCAAAAACTGCAGAGATTAGTCAAAAACACCTGAACGGCACCATATTGGCTGTACTAAATATAACAGTTGTTGAGAATATCACATTTAAGAATGATAAAAACAGATCAAGCTCTGGAAATCGAAAACAAATAACCAAGACAAATCAACACCAAGAATTAACGTGGTTCGGCAATACGTGCCTACATCCATGGGACAGCAACAACAATCTTTCACTATATCAATAATGAGTACAACCAATAATCTTGCCAAATCTCTAGATCTAAGACTTGACGAAAAACCTGAAAGAACAGGAACAAGAAATACACTATCTCTTTTCTTTTCTCTCGCACACACTTTACAATATTCTCTCACTCTAATCGCTTGAGTGGTAATACAATTTATTGTTTTGCTCCCCCCAATTCAAAACTAGTACAATAGCCCCTTTATATAGACATAATAAAGGTCTTCTTCAATAAGGATTATTAATCCTAATTGGAATCTAGTTATAAAACCTACTCCAATTGAGAAACTAACTCCAATTGGGAAAACAACTCCAATTCGGAAAACAATTTAATCCTCTAAGACTATAATTCCTTATACTCTTAGGACAACTTATCATGGGCTGGAAAAACCTAACAGCAGTACCCCAAATTTATGGTGCTATCAAATTTATGTACATAAATTTACATACATTTTTTAATGACACTAAAGATTAATTCTGAACTTATGGTACCATCAAATTTATGTATATAGCATACCTATATTAGTATGATTCTAATTTACACCTGCTTCTTATCAAAAAATTTATAACATAAATTTCACCATGTATGCTTAAAACGCAAAAATTTTCATTTCGTTTTGTAAATTACAAATAATTCACTAATACTTCATACATGGAGCGGCGAACCACTTTAGTTGGGTTCTCTTGGCACAGATTTGAGTTAGAAAGTCAGGAAAATTCTAAAATCAGCATCAGACACTTTAGAACAATTTGACAAAATAGGGTGTGGATGTGTTCTAATATTCCTTTCAATAAACAACAAAAAGTTATCCCCTACATGAAAAAATAACCAAAAACAAAAAAAACAGTTGCTATTTGTACCTGACTAAAACGTTATCCCCTAGCTATTTTACCCCAATGCCTCATGAGTACAAATGCATTCTAAATTTGAACCTGACTAAAAGTTGATAAAAGGCTGGAATTTCGGGTGTCTTCTTTCACTTCCGGCTGCTTCTCTTTCTTAGTCTCTTTTGCAGCTTCCTGCAGAATTGAATAGATAAAGAGTGATTTACGATCAGCATCACATCAAACTGGCAACGTTTGTAAAATAATTCCAAAGTCAGTTGATCGAAGTCATGAAACAAGAGAAGCAAGAGTACCTTTTTTGTCTCCTTTGGAGAGTGACTGGCATTTGATCCGAAAACAAGTTTTCCCCAAGCCTGACAACTGGTAGCTTGTGAACTAGATCCTGTAGAAGGTTGTGCATTTCTATTGGTGACTGCAGGTTTCTTGTCTTTGGATCCTAAGGAAGAAGCCGGTGCTGGCTTATATTTCAAAGGCTTCCCATCCAAGCGTCTTCCAGATCCAGTAAAAGGGTTAAATTTAGGTTCAGCATCAGCAGGATCCTCTTCAACTGCAAGAAAATCAAAAACTCATACAATTCCTTTCTGTTTACTTTTTGGGCAATGGAACACTATTATGTTGAAATACATAATAGTATTCAAAATTAACAGGACTACAAACTACGTAATTTCTGTGCCTTGAAGTATGCCTCTAGAAGTATGTGCATCAATTAAAATGTATAATGCCTACGTCTAAATACACAAAACATTGAATTCCATTACCTTGTTGTTATTGACCTCTTTCTCAGTCGGAATCGCCAGAGCTTCGGAACCATCGTCCAGAACTGTGGAGGAAGAGACAGTCGACCAGGACCACTTCGCCTTCACGCACCTGAGGCCGGAGCCGAAGCGGAGGGTCAAAATTATAATATATCATATTGACGGATTCTCAAACACATTTCATCGAACACCTAGTGAGCCACGTTCCCATATGCTTTCTTGTAAGATTAATTGAAGAACAATACTTAGTTTTTGAACAAAATTAACTTCCAGATGAGTAATTTAACAGAAAAGAAGCAACAAAAAAAAACCCAGAAATCTTTAATTGAAGAACAATACTTAGTCTTTGAACAAAATTAACTTCCAGATGAGTAATTTAACAGAGAAGAAGAAAAAAGAAACCCAGAAATCTTTTTTAAAAAAAATTGTCTATAAGAACTGAATTTACACCACCATCCATTATATGCCTAGATGCAGGCTACACAAATGTCACTGGAAAATCAAGGGTAGCAGCAAGCAACTTTATTCTCTAAAAGCCCTTGCCAAAAGAAGCAAAAAATAATATAATTCCAAACCACACAAATAAAAAACAGGACATGCAAATAAAAATTTCATCAATTTGTTTACTAAATCCGCTTTTCTGATTTCATTTTGAATTCACTGGGGAAAAAAATACATAAATCCAAAGAAAAAAATACCCAAATGAAAAAAAATAATTAGAAGCTTTCAACTGAGAGATTCCCTGAAGAGCGGAAAGTTTCAGCAAGCGAGAATAGAGATGAAGCCCCCATCCCTCTACTAATTGCTAGCAAATGATCCAACGGTTATATTTCTATTTTCACCAGCAGAAGATGGAGCACATGGGACACAGATAATTTCAACAAGGCATCCACGAACATAAACAAGTGACCAAATAAAACCTGACCATATGACAAGTTTAAGGGTTATGCCATATCAAAAGGTTTAAACTTTGTTGTTGAAATTTCTCAGCTAAATGTGTTCACTTGTCCATAATACAATTTAAAAGGATGAAAACATAACAACAAAACACAGAACACAGGCACTTTACCCCAATGCCTCATGAATACAAATGCATTCTAAATTTGAACCTGACTAAAAGTTGATAAAAGGATAGTACTTTTCTTATATGTATTTGTACCAGCCAAGGTCAACAAAAAAAAATAATGAGCAATCCAAAAAGTAGCCAAAACCGCTTCAGCCATATGCATCATGAAACACATTCTAAGCTATCTGGACAGACTATCTAGAAATATTCTCTGATATACTGTTGCAAAAATGCCTCTATAATAAACACAAAACATTGAATTCCGTTACCTTGCTGTTATTGACCTCTTTCTCAGTCGGAATCGCCAGAGGTTCAGAACTGTCGACCGGAACTGTGAATGAAGACACCGTCGACCAGGTCCACGTCGCCTTCACGCACCTGGGGCCGGAGCTGAAGAGGAGAGTCAGAATTATAATATATCATATTGACAGATTCTCAGACACATTTCATCGAACACTAGTGTGCCACGTTCTCATATGCTTTCTGGTAAGATTAATTGAAGAACAATACTTAGTTTTTTGAACTAAATTAACATCCAGATGAGTAATTTAACAGAAAAGAAGCAACAAAAAAAATAACCCAGAAATCTTAATTGAAGAACAATACTTGGTCTTTGAACAAAATTAACTTCCAGATGAGTAATTTAGCAGAGAAGAAGCAAAAAGAAACCCAGAAATCTTGACAAAATTGTCTATAAGAAATGAAATTACCTTGAACGGAGCTCGCTGCAAACAACACAACCACTCATTAACACGTTCAACCCCATTTGCACATAAACAATTAGAAAGATTTGAAAAAAGAGAGCAAAGACAAAGCTTATATAAATCATCATATGATTAAATGCAGGCTGCACAAATGTCACTGGAAAGCCAAACCAAACAAATCAAAAACAGGGCACGCAAATAAAAATTTCATCAATTTGTTTACTAAATCCGTTTTTCTGATTTCATTTCGAATTCACTGGGGAAAAAAAATACATAAATCCAAAGAAAAAAAAAAATACCCAAATGAAAAAAAATAATTAGAAGCTTTCAACTCAGAGATTACCTGAAGAGCGGAAAGTTTCAGCAAACGAGAATAGAGATGGAGCCCCCATCCCTCTAGCCCTAGCCCCTCAATTGAATCGCCCACCCACCCTCTGTGCAAACCCTAGACCCACCCCCTAATCTCTCTCTGCAACAGACGCCAAAATACCTCTCCCATCTCTCTCTCGGCAAGGGAAAGGAACCCGGAAGACGCCATCGAATTCTCCCACCTCTCTCTCTGCAAGGAACAGGAATCCCAGAAAACCCTCGACGATATCGAACCACCAATTCTTCCTCCCATTTTTGTATGGTTTTGGCAGCATCGAGAAGGCGGTAGAGGTGGACTACCACTCGCCGAGTTGGACGACATTCAAGTGTAAAAGAGAAGAATACACACGTGTGCTTATCTACTTCGTAATGTTATTTTGTTAAATTGCAACATTACATCGGTAGATTGTATTATGCTATTGATAAGTACAAACTAGATAGAATTCTTGTATTAAATGGATAACCGTTACATAATTGTTTGTAGGATCACTTACTGAAGGATTCTTTTATTTAATACATATGTCGCAAGTACCAAAACACAAAGTAGAAGGGGGAAAAACATCACATTATATATTAGGGTAATCAAACTTCAGAATAAAAACATTTTGAAACGAACCACTTCTAATGCAATTGCTAGTGCTACCTTATCTTTGATGTCTTCGAAGAATTGAAAATAGGCATACCTCCACGATGTCTTTAAGATCAATGTGCCGCAAACACCCCAAAAGTCTACGATAAAGCCAAGTACCACGCTGACATAGAGCCACAACTTATCATTTCCATCTTCATTCTCCTCATTTGCATCCTTAGCAATAAAAGGGTCATCTTCAGGGCACTGAGTTGAGAGAGGAACGCCACATAACCATTGATTGCCCACATAAATGGACGAAAAATTGAGCGTTTGAAGCTGGTTTCCAGTAGGAATTCTTCCAGACAAGTTGTTGTAAGACAAGTCCAGGTGGGACAAAGAGGTTAAAGATGACAAGCTTTGAGGAATCTGTCCCGAAAGGTGGTTGTGTGAGAGATCAAGAGTTTCAAGCCAACGCAAGTTTCCGACCTTGGAAGGGATCTTTCCAATTAATTGATTCTTGGACAAATTCAAGGTGCCCAACATAATGAGGCTGCTTATTTCTTCAGGGATTTCACCTTTTAAATTATTTGATGAAAGATCAATGCTCTTTACAAGATATAGAGTTGTGTTGTACACAAGTTCTTCTCCTTTTAGTGTCAGTGTGGCTTGCTCATACTTATTATAATAGTCTTCATAAGAATAATCATTGACTAGCGAAGTTAAGTTATCCAAACACATGGGAATAGTACCTGAAAGGCTGTTGTGACTAAGGTCAAGGATGTGAAGGCCTTGAAGATTGCACAGTTGCTGGGAAATACATCCACTAAAATAGTTGGACCGTAATCGTAGCCTAGACAACTTAGATACGTTTGACCCTCCTATCCATAGAGGTATTTTCCCAAATAACTTGTTGTCTCCAAGATCAATACTCCTCAAACTTGAACAATTTTGCAAGGCATCAGGAATTTCACCGCCAAAATTGTTGTCGTTGAGCTTTAAAATTTCCAAGGAACGTAGTACCCCCAATGAAGTGGGAATCTTACCAGACAGATTGTTTTGACCAACATCTAAAAACACCATATTGCTTTCCATATTCCATGCATGAGGGAGTTCTCCAGAAAACTGATTGCTCCTTAGAGACAGGATTCTTAACTTCTGCATGTTACAAATAGAGGGAGGAATAGTGCCATTCAAATGATTCTCATCAAGTAACAATTCTTGCAATTTGGGCATCATTTGGTCAATATTTGAGGGGATTGGCCCAAAAAATAAATTGCCTTCTAGATAAAGGGAATGGACATTAGGGAAACACCAATGTGGTAGAGGGCCCTCCAACTGATTATGACTCAAATCAATAGACGTTAAATTTGGAAATTTCAAATGGGATGGAAAGTTTCCATGAAAGTGGTTGTAAGACAAGTCTAGATGGCTAGGTTGGGAAGATATCTTCAACAACCATTCCTCGGGTATGGAATCCAAGATTCCATTGCCCCGAAGGAAAACATTAGACAGTTCAGTTTGAGTTTGAAGCCATACCCAAAAACCAGGACTTATCCGACAATTTATGATATAAATTGTGAAGAGCTTGAAAGAAGGAACCCTGTCATAGGCCCCGTCGAGAATGAGGGACGTGGGTCAGTCTACGTTTCCTACTTCAAAATTTTGTAATCTGGTAAGATTTATGAAATGGGCTTCCATTAAAATGTCTTCCCATGAATTACCAAACAGAAGTAGGGAAACTAGCTCACAGAGTTGTCCAATACTTTTTGGAATTGAGCTGTTCATCTTATTATAACTGAGGTCTAGTGTTTTCAAGGACGACAAGTTTCCGATGGAATTTGGAATTGAGCCCCACAAATTGTTTTCTCTAAGGTTGAGATTCTGCAAACTTTTAAACATTCCTAAAAAGACCGGCAATTGGCTTTCAAGCTGGCAATAAGACAAATCTAGTGACTCTAATGTATTACTTGGACAATTTGAGAGACTCCTCCAAAACTCTTCAATCCCCCCATCAAAGTAGTTCCCTGAAAGACTTAAGACTTTTAGCTTGCACAAATTTCCACTGACTTTAGGAATTTGACCTTTTAAGCCTGTTCCAGATAAATCAAGATTTTCCAGAGATTTGAAGTTTGAAAATTCACTTGGAAAAGAATCCCCGAAATCATTCCCGTATAGATCAAGTGTTATGAGGTTGGTAAGATTAAAAAACCAGCCGGGAAATGAAGAACTTTTAATGCCATTATACGACATATCAAGGACCAACAGTGATGTGAAGTTAATCCTCTGTAGTGAAAGTGGAAGGAAGTTAATGCTCTGCAGTGAGAGTGGAATGCTTTCAATTTGGCACGAAGATAAATGTAACTCTAACAATGAAGGAAGCATGTTAATATCATATGCCCAACTGACTCCTGTGCTGCTAAGATCAACGCCCTCCAGATTAATGTATTTCAGGGAAAAGAGGTGAGAAAGCCAATTCAAATTTTTGGAAGATAAGTCAAAATTGCGCCCGAGATCAAGAACATTTAGGCTTGACAGGTTAGCAAGAGAAGAGGGAATCTCTCCTCCAAATGACGCATAGGAGAGATTGAGATATTGCAAACTTTTAAGCTCCCCAATGAACTTAGGAATTTGATTGCTATCAAACCAATTCAGGCTCAAGTCCAGGTAATTTAAATGTTTCAAGCTCAACAGAGAAGCATTTATCTTACCTCCCAAAGAAGCATTTCTCCACTCTTCAAACTCATCATCGTCCAAAAAGTCATATGGATGCCGGAGGTCCATCTTCACGACATGACCAATGCTGTTGTTGCATGAAATACCTTCCCATCGACAGCAATCATGACCCACCCAAGACGAAAGCCGACCAGAATGATCAACAAGATGCTGTTTGAAGATGAGAAGCGCTTGTCTTTCTTCGTCAATGCATGAATCTGTCTTCACACTGCTTGAAATTTCATCACCAGCCAAACAGAAACAGAGTTTAGTAGTACTCTGAATGCAGGAAGAGACCAAAAGCAAAAGAAGCAAATAGTGAGCAATACTGAGGTGACAATGGCTATCCATTATTACACACAATTTTTTTTTGCTTTGTTGGTGAGATGTTTAGCTACTAAAATTAGTACGATATCGAATTTATAGGAAAAGATTATCGATGTAGGTAGGAGAGCTGAAAACCAAAGTCGTCGGATGGAGAAAAGAAAAAAGGGTAACTGAAATGAGTGGTGGGTGTTCACAACCCCTTTTACAAGTTTGTAGGTCCCTTGTCGACACAGCTGATATTTGATTGTGATGGGTTGTTGAATTAAGGGTCTTCATGTTCCATCACAATTCACAACTTATCAACTTGCTTACGAAAAACAGATTTGGATATGTTGTTATATTTTACACCACACATGCTGGTAGACTGGAATTAAGGGTCTGCATGTGGAAGTCTTTGCACACCGATTAGCTAGCGGTGGAAATTCATAAATATAATTGATGAAGGGGATTGGAAGAGAAAAGAGAGTGGCAATTGGCAATGCAAGTAAGCATGACTTAATATTTGCGGCATTTTTTTTTTTAAATACTGGCTATATTATCAACTAATTTATTTATTAATATGTTCACTGATTCGCATGCATTTACGAATTTGCAAAAGAGATGGACAGAGACAGAAGCTCTAATCCCTAACTCTATTTGCATCTTTTAGGGGGTTCTTATCATTTGGCCCGACTGGAGGAAGGGATGTGATTCGTTCCTACTATTTGCATCTATACCAAGAATTGTTCCTTAAATCCACTTCAGTTCCCAAACAAAAACACTTTCTTTATATTTTGCTTATGTCCTTCCATGTAGTCTTGCAATAGAATATACTTGTCACTAAAACTTTCATTAAAAAGTGGGTCAAAAATTAGACGACATTGTGGACATAATAGCACTCATTACTTTTTGGTGTTAGGTGAAGAATCCACGAAAGGGTAGAAAATGTAATCATTTCGTATATAATGCGCAGTACTGAAGAAAAAATGAACAAAATACACTCCATTTGTCCCAAAATCCCTCATAAAACTTTACATTATTACATAAATATCATTGGATACATGGAAAAATCAGAAGGAAAATGCAAGGCCAGATGGTTTTAGTTACAAACCTGTTTAAACTTAAAGGGTCTTTTCCTGCCTAAATCAGCCAAATGTTTTTACCAAACACTAAACTTGTCACTAGTGTTTTTACCAAACACTAATTAACCAGCAGAAGATGAAACAAATGGGACACAGATACTTTCAACAAGGCATCCTTGGACTTATATTCTTGTCGCAAACATAAACAAGTGACCAAATAAAACCTGACCATATGACAAATTTGAGGGTTTTGAGAAAGAAGAAGAATCTGTTTTTGGCCATATCAAAAAGTTTAAACTTTGTTGTTGAAATTCCATATTTTGTTGTGCACAGAACCCCAAATTTACAAAAATTCTGGAAATTAGTTTAAAAAAAAAAGGAATTACTTCCATCAAAGTTCATGGCCTTTGTAAAATACATAACCCAAAAATTCAAAAACAAAAGTCCAAAAAAAAATAAAAAATAAAAAATAAAAAGTTTTAAAAAAACCCAATTTATCTTCATTTCATGTTAAATTGATCATAGTTATGCTCAACACAAACAGATCTACCCTACGATCGTTGTAGAGTAGACATTAGGTGGACAACTCTTTGACTATGCCATTAGACACATTACAAAGGCTTACTTTCCATGTTCTTTGCATGTAACTCACAAATTCTCAACTACATGTGTCATTTGTTTGTCCTCGGCTTTCATTGCGCATTCACTACACTAACCAAATCCAAAAAAAAAACAAAAATGTGACTCTTTCTCTATGGCTTTCTTACTACACAAAAATATCCCTAATTAAAGCATGCCACACATCATCACATAGCTATTATATGAAGTATATTTCTCATTGGCAAGTAATATACTCTCCTTAGCCCAAGAGGATATGAAATTGTTTGAGTACACTGTTCTAACCATTTGGATCAATAAGCTCAAGTTTGCATGGTACAAAACCCTAAATACTCAGACATATGATATCCAATCTTCCACTTTACAAATCACATATGGGTAAAATAATAGCTCTAAAGAAATCGGAAGAAGTAAAAGTCATAAATTTGGATCCATTTTCTTCTTATTTTCTTTGCTTTGTTGGTGAGATGTTTATTGATGTAGGCCGGAGAGTGACAACGAAAGTCGTCTGATGGAGAAAAGAAAAAATGGCAATTGAAATGAGTGGCGGTTGTTCACAACCCCATTTACAAGTTTGCAGGTCCCTTGTCAACACAACTGGTACCTGGTTGTGATGGGTTGTGGAAATCCATACGCAGCAAAGACTTTGAATTAAGGGTCATCTTGTTCCATCACAATTCACAACTTATCAACTTACTTACGAAAACCGATTTGGATATGTTCTTATATTTCACACCACACATGCTGGTAGATTGGTAGTCACTACTTGGATATTTACAAGTTTGCAAGCCTTGTAGAAGCAGATATTATGAATGCATGAATGAGATGGCTAGCTACCTGTGGAAGTCTTTGCACACCGATTAGTCTTTGGTGGAAAATCCTTATGTCTAGCCGTGGGAATCCATAAATCATAATTGATGAAAGGGATTGGAAGAGACAAGAGAGTGGCAATTGGCAATGCAGGTGAGGATGATTTAATATTTGTGGTATTCTTTTTTTATTTTAAATACTTGCAATATTCTAAACTAATTCATCTATTAATTTGTTCACTGATTCACGTGCATTTACGAAATTGCAAGAAGGATAGACAGAGACTGAAGCCTAATCTATAACTCTGTTTGCACTTTTTAGGGTTCTTACCGTTTAGCCTGACTGGAGGAAGGGACATGATTTGTTCTATTTTCTCACTATTTGTGTATATACCAAGAATCGTTCCTTAAATCCTAAGAATGGCATAATATGTTTGCTCAATCAAAGGGAAGCAGCACTTAAACCTTGGGTCCTTCACTTGGTTTTGAGTTGGGTTGTGAGGACAGTGGTGCGCCGGAGAGATACAGAGAGGTGGTGTCGCTTATGTCACTTCAATTCCCAAACAAAAACACTTATGTCCTTCAATGTAATTTTGCAATAGAATAAACTTGTTACTAAAATTTTCGTTAAAAAGTGGGTGAAAAAAATTAGACAATAAAGTGGACATAATAGCACTCCTTATTTGATTTGGTTTCTTTTTCGGTGTAAGGTGAAGCTGTATTTTTTGTGTAGAGCAACGGCTAACTTAGCGTGCTCAATCTGCTTGAATTATGATTAAAGTGGTGACAAAAGTTGAAAAAGTGATGTCAATTCCCCTCCTTGGGGAAGAGGTCATTGCTTTGACTAAACCTAACCGTTGGGTTATTTGCAAGAAGCATTTGGACCCATTTTCTAACCCTGCGGTTCCACACCAATAGTTAGATGATTAGTTAATTGATTGTACAAGTCGGCAATACAGTTAGTAAGTTTGTTAGTATTTGGTTAGAGTTGTTAGACTCTCTTATAAAAACGTAGCTGTGTAATCTTTCTTTTTAGTTAATACAAGTCTCATATTTCTCTCTCTAAACTCTCTCTCCAAGCTCTCTGCGTTCATCTTTCTTTTGATTTTCTCTTCAATTCTCAAATATTTCAAGGTAGTTAACACCTATAACCCATAAAAAATTTTAGTGTCGTTCAAAATCACAAATACCCAGTTAAATTCAAAAACTGCAGAGATTAGTCAAAAAACACCCGAGCGGCACCATATCGGCTGTACCAAATACAACAGTACCCCAAATTTATGGTGGTATCAAATTTATGTATATAAATTTACGTAAATTTTTTAATGACACTAAAGATTAATTCTGAACTTATGGTACTATCAAATTTATGTATATAGCATACCTATATTAGTATGATTCTAATTTACATCTGCTGCTTATCAAAAAAATTTATAATTCGTGTCGTTTCGTAAATTACAAATAATTCACTAATACTTCATACATGGGTTCTCTTGGCACATATTTGAGTTAGAAAGTCAGGAGAATTCTAAAATCAGCATTAGACACTTTAGAACAATTTGACAAAATAGGGTGTGGATGTGTTCTAATATTCCTTTCAACAAACAACAAAAAGTTATCCCCTACATGAAAAAATAACAAAAAAAAAAAAAAAAAAACAGTTGCTATTTGTAGCATCGGTTGAGAGGTTGGATGGGTTGAACTCCTAACCGGAGGTAAGCCCAAATTTTGTAGGATTGGTAATTTGTCAAACCAGGCTCAACCGTGCTCGCCCTAACTCTGAACTGGCCAGACTGGTTTGAGTTCAACCCATCCATGAAATTGCAACCCCGCTATGCCAAGTAAAAATTTGTTTAACAAACTAACCTCCATTAGCTTTGTGATAAGCTGCACTTTTTCTCTGTTCTTTTCATTGAAAGCCTGCATCTCTGTATTCCTTTTCCTGTGACAAGTTACAAACCCGAAATTCATCACGACCAGACACGAATTGATCCATAATTGCATATGCATAGCAGTAAACATTAACATCTGAATGTGGTAAAAATCCAAGTTGTGTTACCTTCTTCTGGCAGGTATGTCCTAGTGACTTTAACTCTTTGTTAATCGCATTGATCTTCTTACGAACTTGTGAAACATCCTTCCTCATCGGATCTGAGAGCCCTTCAAGCTCCTGGAAGTTCCATAATTTACGACAAAAAGGAAATTAATCATCTACTAATTGCTAGCAACGGATTCAACGGCTATATTTCTGGTTTAACCAGCAGAAGATGAAGCACATGGGGTACATAAATTTTCAACAAGGCATCCTCGGACATATATACTTGTCCCAGACATAATCAAATGACTAAATAAACCCTGATCATATGACAAATTTGAGGGTTTTGAGAAAGAAGAGAATCTGTTTTTTGCCATATCAAAAAGTTTAAACTTTGTTGTTGAAATTTCTTAGCTAAATTCCATATTTTGTTGTGTACAGAACCCCAGATTTACTCTGTTAGCTGAGACAAACAGATAATTAATTCTCTTGAAAAAAAATCTGGGAATCAGTAAAAAAAATGGAATATTACCATCAAAGAGTTCATGGCCTTTGTAAATACATTAAACCGAAAATTCAAAATCAAAAATCCAAAACAAATTAAGTTGGAAAAAAACCCAAACAGAAAATATTGTAGCGTTCAAATGCATTGCTACACAAATCAAAAATTTATTTTCTATATGGCAGTTTTCTTCATGTAATAAAAGTCAACAACATTTAAATACAGAACTCAAATAAATACGGTAAAATGATACAAAGAATGACATGGTTAAATGGATTTAATTTGGAGATCTATGAGATTAGAGAATGAAGTGACTGAATTTAGAAAACCCACACTGCAAACTTTTTTTCTGCGCAATGAGAAAATATAATTATCCAGCAGCACAAAAATTATTAGCGTCGGACCAAATGCGGCTCGAAAATTGTTTTACTGACAAAAATTCATAAATTATTGACAAAAAAACTCTTACAAAATCGATATTAAATTACATTTGAATATGAATGAGGATAAATGGTTGATACTCATAATTGTGTTCACTTATCCATAATAAAATTTAAAACAAATAACGAAAACTGATTATTGAAAACAAATAACGCACAAATACCTGTCAATCTAGAAAATAAAACCAACCAATACTCGATACCAAAAAAGGTAAAACTACAAAAGATAAAGGTCAGTCCTTTGCAAAGCCAACCATTGCATTTACCAAAAAATGAAATTAAAAACAAAATCTAACAACCAAAAAAGATGTGTATATGCAGTAGAAAGCTTGTAAGAGTTCATTCATCGGCTAAAATTCAAAATTTCAGATTGACCAATTACACCATTTCTATAAAATTTCAGTTATGGGATTCCTATTGAGCAAAATTAATGTGTTAGGATAGAAACAAGTTCTTACATATTTCAATAAATCCATAAAAATGGTTCCTTAGTTAACAATAAATGTTTTTTTGTACCAAAAACGAAGCAATGAAATAAATATTTTACATGTGTCATTTGTGTGTCCTCGGCTCTCTCTCTCTCTCTCGCTCTCTCTTTCTCTATGGCTTTCTTACTACACATAAATATCCCTAATTAAAGCATGCCACACATCAGCACATTGCTATTATATGAAGTATATTCCTTATTGGCAAGTAATATACTCTCCTTGGCCCAAGAGGATATGAAATTGTTGAGTACATTGTTCTAGCCATTTGGATCAATAAGCCCAAGTTTGCATTGTACAAAACCCTAAATACTCAGACATATGAAATCCAATCTTCCACTTTACAAATCACATATGGGTAAACTAATAGCTCTGAAGAAATCGGAAGAAGTAAAAGGCTTTAGACACAAATATACCTGAGGTGCCAAAATATGGAGTGGAGGAAGCGTTTTCTTCTTATTTTGAGGGAAGAAGAATGCAGCTCTGAATTTGGACCCATTTTCTTAACAAGCGGTTCCTATAGCCCATAAATTTTTAGTGTCGTTCAAAATCACAAATACCCCAGATGAATTCAAAAACTGCAGAGATTAGTCAAAAACACCTGAACGGCACCATATTGGCTGTACTAAATATAACAGTTGTTGAGAATATCACATTTAAGAATGGTAAAAACAGATCAAGCTCCGGAAATCGAAAACAAATAACCAAGACAAATCAACACCAAGAATTAACGTGGTTCGGCAATACGTGCCTAAGTCCACGGGACAGCAACAACAATCTTTCACTATATCAATAATAAGTACAACCAATAATCTTGCCAAATCTCTAGAACTAGGACTTGACGAAAAACCTGAAAGAACAGGAACAAGAAATACACTATCTCTTTTCTTTTCTCTCGCACACACTTTACAATATTCTCTCACTCTAATCCCTTGAGTGGTATACAATTCTTTGTTTTGCTCCCCCCAACTCAAAACTAGTACAATAGCCCCTTTATATAGACATAATAAAGGTCTTCTTCAATAAGGATTATTAATCCTAATTGGAATCTAGTTATAAAACCTACTCCAATTGAGAAACTAACTCCAATTGGGAAAACAACTCCAATTCGGAAAACAATTTAATCCTCTAAGACTATAATTCCTTATACTCTTAGGACAACTTATCATGGGCTGGAAAAACCTAACAGCAGTACCCCAAATTTATGGTGCTATCAAATTTATGTACATAAATTTACATACATTTTTTAATGACACTAAAGATTAATTCTGAACTTATGGTACCATCAAATTTATGTATATAGCATACCTATATTAGTATGATTCTAATTTACACCTGCTTCTTATCAAAAAATTTATAACATAAATTTCACCATGTACGCTTAAAACGCAAAAATTTTCATTTCGTTTTGTAAATTACAAATAATTCACTAATACTTCATACATGGAGCAGCAAACCACTTTAGTTGGGTTCTCTTGGCACAGATTTGAGTTAGAAAGTCAGGAAAATTCTAAAATCAGCATCAGACACTTTAGAACAATTTGACAAAATAGGGTGTGGATGTGTTCTAATATTCCTTTCAATAAACAACAAAAAGTTATCCCCTACATGAAAAAATAACCAAAAACAAAAAAACAGTTGCTATTTGTACCTGACTAAAACGTTATCCCCTAGCTATTTTACCCCAATGCCTCATGAGTACAAATGCATTCTAAATTTGAACCTGACAAAAAGTTGATAAAAGGCTGGAATTTCGGGTGTCTTCTTTCACTTCCGGCTGCTTCTCTTTCTTAGTCTCGTTTGCAGCTTCCTGCAGAATTGAATAGATAAAGAGTGATTTACGATCAGCATCACATCAAACTGGCAACGTTTGTAAAATAATTCCAAAGTCAGTTGATGGAAGTCATGAAACAAGAGAAGCAAGAGTACCTTTTTTGTCTCCTTTGGAGAGCGACTGGCATTTGATCCGAAAACAAGTTTTCCCCGAGCCTGACAACTGGTAGCTTGTGAACTAGATCCTGTAGAAGGTTGTGCATTTCTATTGGTGACTGCAGGTTTCTTGTCTTTGGATCCTAAGGAAGAAGCCGGTGCTGGCTTATATTTCAAAGGCTTCCCATCCAAGCGTCTTCCAGATCCAGTAAAAGGGTTAAATTTAGGTTCAGCATCAGCAGGATCCTCTTCAACTGCAAGAAAATCAAAAACTCATACAATTCCTTTCTGTTTTCTTTTTGGGCAATGGAACACTATTATGTTGAAATACATAATAGTATTCAAAATTAACAGGACTACAAACTACGTAATTTCTGTGCCTTGAAGTATGCCTCTAGAAGTATGCCTCTAGAAGTATGTGCATCAATTAAAATGTATAATGCCTACGTCTAAATACACAAAACATTGAATTCCATTACCTTGTTGTTATTGACCTCTTTCTCAGTCGGAATCGCCAGAGCTTCGGAACCATCGTCCAGAACTGTGGAGGAAGAGACAGTCGACCAGGACCACTTCGCCTTCACGCACCTGAGGCCGGAGCCGAAGCGGAGGGTCAAAATTATAATATATCATATTGACGGATTCTCAAACACATTTCATCGAACACCTAGTGAGCCACGTTCCCATATGCTTTCTTGTAAGATTAATTGAAGAACAATACTTAGTTTTTGAACAAAATTAACTTCCAGATGAGTAATTTAACAGAAAAGAAGCAACAAAAAAAAACCCAGAAATCTTTAATTGAAGAACAATACTTAGTCTTTGAACAAAATTAACTTCCAGATGAGTAATTTAACAGAGAAGAAGAAAAAAGAAACCCAGAAATCTTTTTTAAAAAAAATTGTCTATAAGAACTGAATTTACACCACCATCCATTATATGCCTAGATGCAGGCTACACAAATGTCACTGGAAAATCAAGGGTAGCAGCAAGCAACTTTATTCTCTAAAAGCCCTTGCCAAAAGAAGCAAAAAATAATATAATTCCAAACCACACAAATAAAAAACAGGACATGCAAATAAAAATTTCATCAATTTGTTTACTAAATCCGCTTTTCTGATTTCATTTTGAATTCACTGGGGAAAAAAATACATAAATCCAAAGAAAAAAATACCCAAATGAAAAAAAATAATTAGAAGCTTTCAACTGAGAGATTCCCTGAAGAGCGGAAAGTTTCAGCAAGCGAGAATAGAGATGAAGCCCCCATCCCTCTACTAATTGCTAGCAAATGATCCAACGGTTATATTTCTATTTTCACCAGCAGAAGATGGAGCACATGGGACACAGATAATTTCAACAAGGCATCCACGAACATAAACAAGTGACCAAATAAAACCTGACCATATGACAAGTTTAAGGGTTATGCCATATCAAAAGGTTTAAACTTTGTTGTTGAAATTTCTCAGCTAAATGTGTTCACTTATCCATAATACAATTTAAAAGGATGAAAACATAACAACAAAACACAGAACACAGGCACTTTACCCCAATGCCTCATGAATACAAATGCATTCTAAATTTGAACCTGACTAAAAGTTGATAAAAGGATAGTACTTTTCTTATATGTATTTGTACCAGCCAAGGTCAACAAAAAAAAAATAATGAGCAATCCAAAAAGTAGCCAAAACCGCTTCAGCCATATGCATCATGAAACACATTCTAAGCTATCTGGACAGACTATCTAGAAATATTCTCTGATATACTGTTGCAAAAATGCCTCTATAATAAACACAAAACATTGAATTCCGTTACCTTGCTGTTATTGACCTCTTTCTCAGTCGGAATCGCCAGAGGTTCAGAACTGTTGACCGGAATTGTGAATGAAGACACCGTCGACCAGGTCCACGTCGCCTTCACGCACCTGGGGCCGGAGCTGAAGAGGAGAGTCAGAATTATAATATATCATATTGACAGATTCTCAGACACATTTCATCGAACACTAGTGTGCCACGTTCTCATATGCTTTCTGGTAAGATTAATTGAACAACAATACCTAGTTTTTGAACTAAATTAACATCCAGATGAGTAATTTAACAGAAAAGAAGCAACAAAAAAAAACCCAGAAATCTTAATTGAAGAACAATACTTGGTCTTTGAACAAAATTAACTCCCAGAAATCTTGACAAAATTGCACATAAACAATTAGAAAGATTTGAAAAAAGAGAGCAAAGAAAAAGCTTATATAAAATCATCATTTGATTAAATGCAGGCTACACAAATGTCACTGGAAAATCAAGGGTACCAGCAAGTAAAAATTTCTCTAAAAGCCAAACCAAACAAATCAAAAGCAGGGCACGCAAATAAAAATTTCATCAATTTGTTTACTAAATCCGTTTTTATGATTTCATGTCGAATTCACTGGGGAAAAAAAATATAAATCCAAAGAAAATAAAATACCAAATGAAAAAAAAAAAAAAAATAATTAGAAGCTTTCAACTCAGAGATTACCTGAAGAGCGGATAGTTTCAGCAAGCGAGAATAGAGATGGAGCCCCCATCCCTCTAGCCCTAGCCCCTCAATTGAATCGCCCACCCACCCTCTGTGCAACCCTAGACCCACCCCCTAATCTCTCTCTGCAACAGACGCCAAAATACCTCTCCCATCTCTCTCTCGGCAAGGGACAGGAACCCGGAAGACGCCATCGAATTCTCCCACCTCTCTCTCTGCAAGGAACAGGAATCCCAGAAAACCCTCGACGATATCGAACCACCAATTCTTCCTCCCATTTTTGTATGGTTTTGGCAGCATCGAGAAGGCGGTAGAGGTGGACTACCACTCGCCGAGTTGGACGACATTCAAGTGTAAAAGAGAAGAATACACACGTGTGCTTATCTACTTCGTAATGTTATTTTGTTAAATTGCAACATTACATAGGTAGATTGTATTATGCGATTCATAAGTACAAACTAGATAGAATTCTTGTATTAAATGGATAACCGTTACATAATTGTTTGTGGGAATACTTACTGAAGGATTCTTTTATTTAATACATATGTTGCAAGTACCAAAACACAAAGTAGAAGGGGAAAAACATCACATTATATATTAGGGCAATCAAACTTCAGAATAAAAACATTTTGAAATGAGCCACTTTTAATGCAATTGCTAGTGCTACCTTATCTTTGATGTCATCGAAGAATTGAAAATAGGCATACCTCCACGATGTCTTTAAGATCAATGTGCCGCAAACGCCCCAAAAGTCTACGATAAAGCCAAGTACCACGCTGACATAGAGCCACAACTTATCCTTTCCATCTTCATTCTCCTCCTTTGCATCCTTAGCAATAAAAGTGTGATCTTCAGGGCACTTAGTTGAGAGAGGAACTCCACATAACCATTGATTGCCCACATAAATGGACGAAAAATTGAGCGTTTGAAGCTGGTTTCCAGTAGGAATTCTTCCAGACAAGTTGTTGTAAGACAAGTCCAGGTGGGACAAAGAGGTTAAAGATGACAAGCTTTGAGGAATCTGTCCCGAAAGGTGGTTGTGTGAGAGATCAAGAGTTTCAAGCCAACGCAAGTTTCCGACCTTGGAAGGGATCTTTCCAATTAATTGATTCATGGACAAATTCAAGGTGCCCAACATAATGAAGCTGCTTATTTCTTCAGGGATTTCACCTTGTAAATTATTTGATGAAAGATCAATGCTCTTTACAAGATACAGAGTTGTGTTGTACACAAGTTCTTCTCCTTTTATAGTCAGTGTGGCTTGCTCCCATACATCATAATCGGCTTCATAAGAAGAAGAATCATCATTGACTAGTGAAGTTAAGTTATCCAAACACATGGGAATAGTACCTGAAAGGTTGTTGTGACTAAGGTCAAGGATGTGAAGGCCTTGAAGATTGCACAGTTGTTGGGAAATACATCCACTAAAATAGTTGGACCGTAATCGTAGCCTAGACAACTTAGATACGTTTGACCCTCCTATCCATAGAGGTATTTTCCCAGATAACTTGTTGTCTCCAAGATCAATACTCCTCAAACTTGAACAATTTTGCAAGGCATCAGGAATTTCACCGCCAAAATTGTTGTCGTTGAGCTTTAAAATTTCCAAGGAACGTAGTACCCCCAATGAAGTGGGAATATTACCAGACAGATTGTTTTGACCAACATCTAAAAACACCATAATGCTCTCCATATTCCATGCATGAGGGAGTTCTCCAGAAAACTGATTCCTCCTTAGAGACAGGATTTTTAACTTCTGCATGTTACAAATAGAGGGAGGAATAGTGCCATTCATATGATTCTCATCAAGTAACAATTCTTCCAACTTGGGCATCATTTGGTCAATATTTGAGGGGATTGGCCCAGAAAATAAATTGCCTTCTAGATAAAGGGAATCGACATTAGGGAAACACCAAAGTGGTAGTGGACCCTCCAACTGATTATAACTCAAATCAATAGACATTAAATTTGGAAACTTCAAATGGGATGGAAAGTTTCCATGAAAGTGATTGTAAGACAAGTCTAGATGGCTAGCTTGGGAAGATATCTTCAACAACCATTCCTCTGGTATGGAATCCGAGATTCCATTACCCATAAGGATAACATCAGACAGTTCAGTTTGAGTTTGAAGCCATACCCAAAAACCAGGACTTATCCCACAATTTATGATATAAATTGTGAAGAGCTTGAAAGGAGGAACCCTGTCATAAGCCCCGTCGAGAATGAGGGACGTGGGTCGGTCTATATTTCCTACTAAAAAATCTTCTAATTTGGTAAGATTTATGAAATGGGCTTCTGTTAGAATGCCTTCCCATGAATTACCATGCAGAAATAGGGAAACTAGCTCATAGAGCTGTCCAATACTTTGTGGAATTGAGCCGTTCATCTTATTAACACAGAGGTTTAGTGTTTTCAAGGACGACAAGTTTCCGATGGAATCTGGAATTGAGCCTGACAAATTATTAGAATTGAGGTCTAGTGTTCTCAAGAATGACAAGTTTCCGATGGAATCTGGAATTGAGCCCCACAGATTGTTTACTCCAAGGTTGAGATTCTGCAAACTTTTGAACATTCCTAAAAAGACCGGCAATTGGCTTTCAAGCTGGCAATAAGACAAATCTAGTGACTCTAATGTATTACTTGGACAATTTGAGAGACTCCTCCAAAACTCTTCAATCCCCCCATCAAAGTAGTTCCCTGAAAGACTTAAGACTTTTAGCTTGCACAAATTTCCACTGACTTTAGGAATTTGACCTTTTAAGCGTGTTCTAGATAAATCAAGATTTTCCAGAGATTTGAAGTTTGAAAATTCACTTGGAAAAGAATCCCTGAAATCATTCCCGGATAGATCAAGTGTTACGAGGTTGGTAAGATTAAAAAACCAGCCGGGAAATGAAGAATTTTTAATGCCATTAGACGACATATCAAGGACCAACAGTGATGTGAAGTTAATCCTCTGTAGTGAAAGTGGAAGGAAATTAATGCTCTGCAGTGAGAGTGGAATGCTTTCAATTTGGCACGAAGATAAATGTAACTCTAACAATGAAGGAAGCATGTTAATATCATATGCCCAACTGGCTCCTGTGCTGTTAAGGTTAATGCCATTGAGCTTAATGTATTTCAGGGAAGTGAGGTGAGAAAGCCAATTCAATTTTTTGGAAGATAAGTCATTCCACCCGAGATCAAGAAAATTTAGGCTTGACAGGTTACCGAGAGAAGAGGGAATCTCTCCTCCAAATGACGCATAGGAGAGATTGAGATATTGCAAACTTTTAAGCTCCCCAATGAACTTAGGAATTTGATTGCTATCAAACACATTCTGGCTCAAGTCCAGGTAATTTAAATGTTTCAAGCTCAACAGAGAAGCATTTATCTTACCTCCCAAAGAAGCATTTCTCCACCCTTCAATATCACCGTCAAAAAAGTCATATGGATGCCGGAGGTCCATCTTCACGACATGACCAGTGCTGTTGTTGCATGAAATACCTTCCCATTGGCAGCAATCATGACCCACCCAAGACGAAAGCCTACCAGAATGATCAACAAGATGTTGTTTAAAGACGAGAAGCGCTTGTCCTTCTTCGTCAATGCATGAATTTGTCTTCACACTGCTTGAAATTTCATCACCAGCCAAACAGAAACAGAGTTTAGTAGTACTCTGCATGCAGGAAGAGACCAAAAGCAAAAGAAGCAAATAGTGAGCAATACTCAGGTGACGATGGCTATCCATTATTACACACAATTTTTCTTTGCTTTGTTGGTGAGATGTTTAGCTACTAAAATTAGTACGATATCGAATTTATAGGAAAAGATTATCGATGTAGGTAGGAGAGCTGAAAACGAAAGTCGTCGGATGGAGAAAAGAAAAAAGGGTAACTGAAATGAGTGGTAGGTGTTCACAACCCCTTTTACAAGTTTGCAGGTCCCCTGTCGACACAGCTGGTACTTGCTTGTGATGGGTTGTTGAATTAAGGGTCTTCATGTTCCATCACAATTCACAACTTATCAACTTGCTTACGAAAAACAGATTTGGATATGTTGTTATATTTTACACCACACATGCTGGTAAACTGGAATTAAGGGTCTGCATGTGGAAGTCTTTGCACACCGATTAGCTAGCGGTGGAAATTCATAAATATAATTGATGAAGGGGATTGGAAGAGAAAAGAGAGTGGCAATTGGCAATGCAAGTGAGCATGACTTAATATTTGCGGTATTTTTTTTTTTTTAAATACTAGCTATATTATCAACTAGTTTATCTATTAATATGTTCACTGATTCGCATGCATTTATGAAATCGCATATCAAAAAGTTTAAACTTTGTTGTTGAAATTCCATATTTTGTTGTGCACAGAACCCCAGATTTACAAAAATTCTGGAAATTAGTTAAAAAAAAAGGAATTACTTCCATCAGAGTTCATGGCCTTTGTAAAATACATAACCCAAAAATTCAAAAAAAAAAAAAAAAAAAAAAAAAAAAAAAAAATTGAAAAAAAACCCAACTTATCTTCATTTCATGTCAAATTGATCATAGTTATGCTCAATACAAACAGATCTACTCTGCGATCGTTGTAGAGTAGACATTAGGTGGACAACTCTTTGACTATGCCATTAGACACATTACAAAAGCTTACTTTCCATGTGCTTTGCATGTAACTCACAAATTCCCAACTACATGTGTCATTTGTTTGTCCTCGGCTTTCATTGCGTATTCACTACACTAACCAAATCCAAAAAAAAACAAAAATGTGACTCTCTCTCTATGGCTTTCTTACTACACAAAAATATCCCTAATTAAAGCATGCCACACATCATCACATAGCTATTATATGAAGTATATTTCTCATTGGCAAGTAATATACTCTCCTTAGCCCAAGAGGATATGAAATTGTTTGAGTACACTGTTCTAACCATTTGGATCAATAAGCTCAAGTTTGCATGGTACAAAACCCTAAATACTCAGACATATGATATCCAATCTTCCACTTTACAAATCACATATGGGTAAAATAATAGCTCTAAAGAAATCGGAAGAAGTAAAAGTCATAAATTTGGATCCATTTTCTTCTTATTTTCTTTTCTTTGTTGGTGAGATGTTTATTGATGTAGGCCGGAGAGTGACAACGAAAGTCGTCTGATGGAGAAAAGAAAAAAGGGCAACTGAAATGAGTGGCGGTTGTTCACAACCCCATTTACAAGTTTGCAGGTCCCTTGTCAACACAATTGGTACCTGGTTGTGATGAGTTGTGGAAATCCATACGCAGCAAAGACTTTGAATTAAGGATCATCTTGTTCCATCACAATTCACAACTTATCAACTTACTTACGAAAACCGATTTGGATATGTTCTTATAATTCACACCACACATGCTGGTAGATTGGTAGTCACTACTTGGATATTTACAAGTTTGCAAGCCTTGTAGGAGCAGATATTATGAATGCATGAATGAGATGGCTAGCTACCTGTGGAAGTCTTTGCACACCGATTAGTCTTTGGTGGAAAATCCTTATGTCTAGCCGTGGAAATCCATAAATCATAATTGATGAAAGGGATTGGAAGAGACAAGAGAGTGGCAATTGGCAATGCAGGTGAGGATGATTTAATATTTTCGGTATTCTTTTTTTATTTTCAATACTTGCAATATTCTAAACTAATTCATCTATTAATTTGTTCACTGATTCACGTGCATTTACGAAATTGCAAGAAGGATAGACAGAGACTGAAGCCTAATCTATAACTCTATTTGCACTTTTTAGGGTTCTTACCGTTTAGCCCGATTGGAGGAAGGGACATGATTTGTTCTCTTTTCTCACTATTTGTGTACATACCAAGAATCGTTCCTTAAATCCTAAGAATGGCATAATATGTTTGCTCAATCAAAGGGAAGCAGCACTTAAACCTTGGGTCCTTCACTTGGTTTTGAGTTGGGTTGTGAGGACGGTGGTGCACCGGAGAGATACAGAGAGGTGGTCACTTATGTCACTTCAATTCCCAAACAAAAACACTTAGGTCCTTCTATGTAATTTAGCAATAGAATAAACTTGTTACTAAAATTTTCGTTAAAAAGCGGGTGAAAAAATTAGACAATAAAGTGGACATAATCGCACTCCTTATTTGATTTGGTTTCTTTTTCGGTGTTTGGTGAAGCTGTATTTTTTGTAGAGCAACGGCTAACTTAGCGTGCTGAATCTGCTTGAATTATGATTAAAGTGGTGACAAAAGTTGAAAAAGTGATGTCAATTCCCCTCCTCAGATGCTTCAACCTACACTTGTATTTCGGGGAAGAGGTCATTGCTTTGACTAAACCTAACCGTTGGGTTATTTGCAAGAAGCATTTGGACCCATTTTCTAACCCTGCGGTTCCACACCAATAGTTAGATGATTAGTCAATTGATTGTACAAGTTGGCAATACAGTTAGTAAGTTTGTTAGTATTTGGTTAGAGTTGTTAGACTCTCTTATAAAAACGTAGCTGTGTAATCTTTCTCTTTAGTTAATACAAGTCTCGTATTTCTCTCTCTAAACTCTCTCTCCAAGCTCTCTGCGCTCATCTTTCTTTTGATTTTCTCTTCAATTCCCAAATATTTCAAGGTAGTTAACACCTATAACCCATAAAAAATTTTAGTGTCGTTCCAAATCACAAATACCCAGTTAAATTCAAAAACTGCAGAGATTAGTCAAAAAACACCTGAGCGGCACCACATCGGCTGTACCAAATACAACAGTACCCCAAATTTATGTATATAAATTTGCGTATATTTTTTAAATGACACTAAAGATTAATTCTGAACTTATGGTACTATCAAATTTATGCATATAGCATACCTATATTAGTATGATTCTAATTTACATCTGCTTCTTATCAAAAAAATTTATAACATAAATTTCAATATGTATGCTTACAACGCAAAAATTTTCGTGTCCGAATAGATAAAGAGTGATTTACGATCAGCATCACATCAAACTGGCAACATTTGTAATATAATTCCAAAGTCAGCAGAAGGGCAAAATGTTTAACCCCAATTATTCGATGTAATCCGATACATCGACACAGTACAGAAAATTCGACAATTGCATTGGGTTTTAAAGATTGCAAGAGATTCAGTGAAATGGTTGTCTTCTAACCCTAGCTTTTCCACTCAAAGTGCATTTTAATGAATTGTTATCAATGAATATGATCAGATTTGTTTACTACTTATATCTCAAAACCTAAACTGAACCAATCATAATTAATGTAGTAGTAATGCTAACGACCACTAAGGATCGTGAGCAAAATGTACTCTTCCATGCCATAATAGAAAGCAAACCAAAGGCTCTTCATCAAGAAAAATTATTGAAACATACTAGAACACATCCACATGTTATATTATGAGTAGAAGATCCAATCTATACTTTAGAATATAACATTAATAATCAATCCACGCACTATAATATGTGAGAATCAGTATATCATGTATCTCTATTCCAATACATCGCAAAATCCTTTCTTCTTTCTTTGAAAAGACCAAACAAGTGAAGCCCCAACAAAATACGTGTTTGTCTTCTGTCAGTGGCTAAGTCAGGTATTGTCAGGGAATGAGCGAAATTTAAAAGCGTAAAAGGTCCAAAAAAATGTAGACATCCGTAATCGGGTAATACTGCAATTAGTACATCTCAAACATAAACACAAACACAAATAACGACAACCCCCAACCAAAAGAAAAATACCGTGAAAAACATCAAAAGCAGCAAGACAACATAAGAATAAATTCATCAGACTGAAAAGGGTACGTGGAGACTGAAAGGATAGAGGGAATGCATGTCAAATCAGAAGGTGAATTCTTATGAAATGCTAAAATGCAAACCCAGCAACCATTGACATGCCCTTGGAGCACTTTGGAAGCTGGAAATTTCATCAATCTCAGAAGCAGCTCAGCTGTCAGCTCCACATACAACCCATTTCCCTGAACACAAACTCCCTCTCTAGCTTCTCTTCCCCTGATCCAATCCGTACCCATGCAAGCTCTTGATCAACTCCCCACCCCCCAACACAAAAAGAAAAAAAACCCTTTTCTTTACCTTTTTTCCCCAAAAAAAATGAAAAAACAAAAAAACCCCAACAAGCAGAAGAGCGGAAAGATTCAATATTTGGAGAGAGTAAAGGGAAAACTTGGAAAATGGGGATGGTGGGTTTTTTTGATACTCTCACAGTGGACCGTGGTTGATGGTGTTCTTGAAGACCGGGAGAGATCTCAGCAAATGGAGGTTACAGTCACAAGAATCCATGAAAAGAGAGAAGAAGATCATGGTGTTGTGGGGGTAGGAGTAGAAAATGCAATCATTCCCTATAGAGCCGAGTACTGAAGAAAAATTGAACAAAATACACTCCATTTGTCCCAAAATCACTCATAAAACTTTACATTATTACATAAATATCATGGCCTTTGCAATCCATAAAAAGTTAGAACAAAGAATAGGAATAAATTCAAAGAACCCCACGTTACACTAGGAAGTAGGGTAGTATGTGTTTGGATACATGGAAAAATGAGAAGAAAAATGCAAGGCCAGATGCTTTTAGCTACAAACCTGTTTAAATTTAAAGGTTATTTTCCTGCCTAAATCAGCCAAATGTTTTTACCAAGCACTAATTAATGAAACAAACCAACTTAGAAATTACACCAAATGCCAATCACCACCCATATATGTAAACATAAAAAAAACTCACCTTAAATAAATCATCACACAAACCTAATCAGATCATCAGTTACCCACATAGGCAGCTATTTCTTCACTTTAATGATTCTATGTTGTTGCTCAGCTCCTCAAGCTTCTTCATCTTTGTCTTCTCACTTTCACTCACCAGCTGCATCAAATGTTACACGACAACAAAACAATCTCAAAACGTTGAATTATATAAGCACTATGTACGCTTTTACTGAATCGAAATATAATGAGTGATAACAAGCATCGGTTGAGAGGTTGGATGGGTTGAACTCCTAACCGGAGGTAAGCCCAAATTTTGTAGGATTGGTAATTTGTCACACCAGGCTCAACCGTGCTCACTCTAACTCCGAACTGGCCAGACTGGTTTGAGTTCAACCCATCCATGAAATTGCAACCCCGCTATGCCAAGTAAAAATTTGTTTAACAAACTAACCTCCATTAGCTTTGTGATAAGCTGCACTTTTTCTCTGTTCTTTTCATTGAAAGCCTGCATCTCTGTATTCCTTTTCCTGTGACAAGTTACAAACCCGAAATTCATCACGACCAGACACGAATTGATCCATAATTGCATATGCATAGCAGTAAACATTAACATCTGAATGTGGTAAAAATCCAAGTTGTGTTACCTTCTTTTGGCAGGTATGTCCTAGTGACTTTAACTCTTTGTTAATCGCATTGATCTTCTTACGAACTTGTGAAACATCCTTCCTCATCGGATCTGAGAGCCCTTCAGGCTCCTGGAAGTTCCATAATTTACGACAAAAAGGAAATTAATCATCTACTAATTGCTAGCAACGGATTCAACGGCTATATTTCTGGTTTAACCAGCAGAAGATGAAGCACATGGGGTACATAAATTTTCAACAAGGCATCCTCGGACATATATACTTGTCCCAGACATAATCAAATGACTAAATAAACCCTGATCATATGACAAATTTGAGGGTTTTGAGAAAGAAGAGAATCTGTTTTTTGCCATATCAAAAAGTTTAAACTTTGTTGTTGAAATTTCTTAGCTAAATTCCATATTTTGTTGTGTACAGAACCCCAGATTTACTCTGTTAGCTGAGACAAACAGATAATTAATTCTCTTGAAAAAAATATCTGGGAATCAGTAAAAAAAATGGAATACTTCCATCAAAGAGTTCATGGCCTTTGTAAATACAATAAACCGAAAATTCAAAATCAAAAATCCAAAACAAATTAAGTTGGGAAAAAACCCAAACAGAAAATATTGTAGCGTTCAAATGCATTGCTACACAAATCAAAAATTTATTTTCTATGGATATGGCAGTTTTCTTCATGTAATAAAAGTCAACAACATTTAAATACAGAACTCAAATAAATACGGTAAAATGATACAAAGAATGACATGGTTAAATGGATTTAAGTTGGAGATCTACGAGATTAGAGAATGAAGTGACTGAATTTAGAAAACCCACACTGCAAACTTTTTTTCTGCGCAATGAGAAAATATAATTATCCAGCAGTACAAAAATTATTAGCGTCCGACCAAATGCGGCTCGAAAATTGTTTTACTGACAAAAATTCATAAATTATTGACAAAAAAACTCTTACAAAATCGATATTAAATTACATTTGAATATGAATGAGGATAAATGGTTGATACTCATAATTGTGTTCACTTATCCATAATAAAACTCAAAACAAATAACGAAAACTGATTATTGAAAACAAATAACGCACAAATACCAGTCAATCTAGAAAATAAAACCAACCAATACTCGATACCAAAAAAGGTAAAACTACAAAAGATAAAGGTCAGTCCTTTGCAAAGCCAACCATTGCATTTACCAAAAAATGAAATAAAAACAAAATCTAACAACCAAAAAAGATGTGTATATGCAGTAGAAAGCTTGTAAGAGTTCATTCATCGGCTAAAATTCAAAATTTCAGATTGACCAATTACACCATTTCTATAAAATTTCAGTTATGGGATTCCTATTGACCAAAATTAATGTGTTAGGATAGAAACAAGTTCTTACATATTTCAATAAATCCATAAAAATGGTTCCTTAGTTAACAATAAATGTTTTTTTGTACCAAAAACGAAGCAATGAAATAAATGTTTTACATGTGTCATTTGTGTGTCCTCGGCTCTCTCTCTCTCTCTCTCTCTCTCTCTTTCTCTATGGCTTTCTTACTACACATAAATATCCCTAATTAAAGCATGCCACACATCAGCACATTGCTATTATATGAAGTATATTCCTTATTGGCAAGTAGTATACTCTCCTTGGCCCAAGAGGATATGAAATTGTTGAGTACATTGTTCTAGCCATTTGGATCAATAAGCCCAAGTTTGCAATGTACAAAACCCTAAATACTCATATGAAATCCAATCTTCCACTTTACAAATCACATATGGGTAAAATAATAGCTCTGAAGAAATCGGAAGAAGTAAAAGGCTTTAGAACGCAAATATACCTAAGGTGCCAAAATATGGAGTTGAGGAAGCGTTTTCTTCTTATTTTGAGGGAAGAAGAATACAGCTCCGAATTTGGACCCATTTTCTTAACAAGCGGTTCCTATAGCCCATAAATTTTTAGTGTCGTTCAAAATCACAAATACCCCAGATGAATTCAAAAACTGCAGAGATTAGTCAAAAACACCTGAACGGCACCATATTGGCTGTACTAAATATAACAGTTGTTGAGAATATCACATTTAAGAATGGTAAAAACAGATCAAGCTCCGGAAATCGAAAACAAATAACCAAGACAAATCAACACCAAGAATTAACGTGGTTCGGCAATACGTGCCTACATCCACGGGACAGCAACAACAATCTTTCACTATATCAATAATGAGTACAACCAATAATCTTGCCAAATCTCTAGAACTAGGACTTGAAGAAAAACCTGAAAGAACAGGAACAAGAAATACACTATCTCTTTCTTTTCTCTCGCACACACTTTACAATATTCTCTCACTCTAATCCCTTGAGTGGTATACAATTTATTGTTTTGCTCCCCCCAATTCAAAACTAGTACAATAGCCCCTTTATATAGACATAATAAAGGTCTTCTTCAATAAGGATTATTAATCCTAATTGGAATCTAGTTATAAAACCTACTCCAATGAGAAACTAACTCCAATTTGGAAAACAACTCCAATTCAGAAAACAATTTAATCCTCTAAGACTATAATTCCTTATTATCATGGCTGGAAAAACCTAACAGCAGTACCCCAAATTTATGGTGCTATCAAATTTATGTATATAAATTTATGTATATTTTTTAATGACACTAAAGATTAATTATGAACTTATGGTACTATCAAATTTATGTATATAGCATACCTATATTAGTATGATTCTAATTTACACCTGCTTCTTATCAAAAAATTTATAACATAAATTTCACCATGTATGCTTAAAACGCAACAATTTTCGTTTCGTTTTGTAAATTACAAATAATTCACTAATACTTCATACAAGGAGCGGCGAACCACTTTAGTTGGGTTCTCTTGGCACAGATTTGAGTTAGAAAGTCAGGAGAATTCTAAAATCAGCATCAGACACTTTAGAACAATTTGACAAAATAGGGTGTGGATGTGTTCTAATATTCCTTTCAATAAACAACAAAAAGTTATCCCCTAGATGAAAAAATAACCAAAAACAAAAAAAACAGTTGCTATTTGTACCTGACTAAAACGTTATCCCCTAGCTATTTTACCCCAATGCCTCATGAGTACAAATGCATTCTAAATTTGAACCTGACTAAAAGTTGATAAAAGGCTGGAATTTCGGGTCTTCTTTCACTTCCGGCTGCTTCTCTTTCTTAGTCTCTTTTGCAGCTTCCTGCAGAATTGAATAGATAAAGAGTGATTTACGATCAGCATCACATTAAACTGGCAACGTTTGTAAAATAATTCCAAAGTCAGTTGATGGAAGTCATGAAACAAGAGAAGCAAGAGTACCTTTTTTGTCTCCTTTGGAGAGCGACTGGCATTTGATCCGAAAACAAGTTTTCCCCGAGCCTGACAACTGGTAGCTTATGAACTAGATCCTGTAGAAGGTTGTGCATTTCCATTGGTGACTGCAGGTTTCTTGTCTTTGGATCCTGAGGAAGAAGCTGGTGCTGGCTTCTATTTCAAAGGCTTCCCATCCAAGCGTCTTCCAGATCCAGTAAAAGGGTTAAATTTAGGTTCAGCATCAGCAGGATCCTCTTTAACTGCAAGAAAATCGGAAACTCATACAATTCCTTTCTGTGTTCTTTTTGGGCAATGGAACACTATTATGTTGAAATACATAATAGTATTCAAAATTAACAGGACTACAAACTACGTAATTTCTGTGCCTTGAAGTATGCCTCTAGAAGTATGTGCATCAATTAAAATGTATAATGCCTACGTCTAAATACACAAAACATTGAATTCCATTACCTTCTTGTTATTGACCTCTTTCTCAGTCGGAAACGCCAGAGCTTCGGAACCATCGTCCAGAACTGTGGAGGAAGAGACAGTCGACCAGGACCACTTCGTCTTCACGCACCTGAGGCCGGAGCTGAAGCGGAGGATCAAAATTATAATATATCATATTGACGGATTCTAAGACACATTTCATCGAACACCTAGTGTGCCACGTTCCCATATGCTTTCTTGTAAGATTAATTGAAGAACAATATTTAGTTTTTGAACAAAATTAACTTCCAGATGAGTAATTTAACAGAAAAGAAGCAACAAAAAAAAAACCCAGAAATCTTTAATTGAAGAACAATACTTAGTCTTTGAACAAAATTAACTTCCAGATGAGTAATTTAACAGAGAAGAAGCAAAAAGAAACCCAGATATCTTTTTAAAAAAAATTGTCTATACGAACTGAATTTACACCACCATCCATTATATGACTAAATGCAGGCTACACAAATGTCACTGGAAAATCAAGGGTAGCAGCAAGCAACTTTATTCTCTAAAAGCCCTTGCCAAAAAAAGCAAAAAATAATATAATTCCAAACCAAACAAATCAAAAACAGGACACGCAAATAAAAATTTCATATATTTGTTACTAAATCCGTTTTTCTGATTTCATTTCAAATTCACTGGAACAAAAAATACATAAATCCATAAAAAATAAAAAAAAATAAAAACCCAAATGAAAAAAAATTAATTAGAAGCTTTCAACTGAGAGATTACCTGAAGAGCGGAAAGTTTCAGCAAGCGAGAATAGAGATGAAGCCCCCATCCCTCTACTAATTGCTAGCAAATGATCCAACGGTTATATTTCTGGTTTAACCAGCAGAAGATGAAGCACAACGGTTATATTTCTGGTTATATTTCTCTCTGTTCTTTTCCTTGAAAGCCTCAAGTGCATCCCTGTATTCCTTTTCCTGTGACCAGTTACGAACCCAAAATTCATCATGAACCCGCACGAATTTATCCATAATCGCATATGCATAGCAGTAAACATTAACACCAAAATGTGGTAAAAAATCCAAGTTCTGTTACCTTCTTCTGGCAGGTATGTCCTAGTGGCTATAACTCTTTCTTAATCTCATCGATCTTTCTTACGAACTTGTGAAATATCCTTCCTCATTGGACATGAGAGCCCTTCAAACTCCTGGAAGTTCCATAATTTACGACAAAAGGGAAATTAATCATCTACTAATTGTTAGCAAATGATCCAACGGTTATATTTCTGGTTTAACCAGCAGAAGATGAAGCACATGGGACACAGATATTTTCAACAAGGCATCCTTGGACTTGTATTCTTGTCGCAAACATAAACAAGTGACCACATAAAACCTGACCATAAGACAACTTTGAGGGTTTCGAGAAAGAAGAGAATCTGTTTTTTGCCATATCAAAAAGTTTAAACTTTGTTGTTGAAATTTCTCGGCTAAATTCCCTATTTTGTTGTGTACAGAACCCCATATTTACTCTGTTAGCTGAGACAAACAAATAATTATCCGGCAGTACAAAAATTACAAGCATCCGATCAAATGCTGCTAGAAAATTGTTTCACTGACAAAAATTCATAAATTATTGACAAAAAGTTTTTACAAAATCGATATTATATTACATTTGAATATGAATGAGGATAAATTTACGACAAAAATTCATAAATGTGATCACTTTCCATAACAAAATTTAAAAGGATGAAAACATAACAACAAAACACAGAACACAGGCACTTTACCCCAATGCCTCATGAATACAAATGCATTCTAAATTTGAACCTGACTAAAAGTTGATAAAAGGATAGTACTTTTCTTATATGTATTTGTACCAGCCAAGGTCAACAAAAAAATTAATGGGCAATCCAAAATGTAGCCAAAACCGCTTCAGCCATATGCATCATGAAACACATTCTAAGCTATCAGAAATCTTAATTGAAGAACAATACTTGGTCTTTGAACAAAATTAACTCCCAGAAATCTTGACAAAATTGCACATAAACAATTAGAAAGATTTGAAAAAAGAGAGCAAAGAAAAAGCTTATATAAATCATCATATGATTTAATGCAGGCTGCACAAATGTCACTGGAAAATCAAGGGTACCAGCAAGTAAAAATTTCTCTAAAAGCCAAACCAAACAAATCAAAAACAGGGCACGCAAATAAAAATTTAATCAATTTGTTTACTAAATCCAAAGAAAAAAAATACCCAAATGAAAAAAAATAATTAGAAGCTTTCAACTGAGAGATTACCTGAAGAGCGGAAAGTTTCAGCAAGCGAGAATAGAGATGGAGCCCCCATCCCTCTAGCCCTAGCCCCTCAATTGAATCGCCCACCCACCCTCTGTGCAAACCCCCTAATCTCTCTCTGCAACAGACGCCAAAATACCTCTCCCATCTCTCTCTCGGCAAGGGACAGGAACCCAGAAGACGCCATCGAATTCTCCCACCTCTCTCTCTGCAAGGAACAGGAATCCCAGAAAACCCTCGACGATATCGAACCACCAATTCTTCCTCCCATTTTTGTATGGTTTTGGCAGCATCGAGAAGGCGGTAGAGGTGGACTACCACTCGCCGAGTTGGACGACATTCAAGTGTAAAAGAGAAGAATACACACGTGTGCTTATCTACTTCCTAATGTTACTTTGTTAAATTGCAACATTACGTCGGTAGATTGTATTATGCGATTCATAAGTACAAACTAGATAGAATTCTTGTATTAAATGGATAACCGTTACATAATTGTTTGTGGGAACACTTACTGAAGGATTCTTTTATTTAATACATATGTCGCAAGTACCAAAACACAAAGTAGAAGGGGAAAAACATCACATTATATATTAGGGCAATCAAACTTCAGAATAAAAACATTTTGAAACGAACCACTTTTAATGCAATTGCTAGTGCTACCTTATTTTTGATGTCTTCGAAGAATTGAAAATAGGCATACCTCCACGATGTCTTTAAGGTCAATGTGCCGCAAACACCCCAAAAGCCTACGATAAAGCCAAGTACCACGCTAACATAGAGCCACAACTTATCCTTTCCATCTTCATTCTCCTCCTTTGCATCCTTAGCAATAAAAGGGTCATCTTCAAGGCACTTAGTTGAGAGAGGAACGCCACATAACCATTGATTGCCCACATAAATGGACGAAAAATTGAGCGTTTGAAGCTGGTTTCCAGTAGGAATTCTTCCAGACAAGTTGTTGTATGACAAGTCCAGGTGGGACAAAGAGGTTAAAGATGACAAGCTTTGGGGAATCTGTCCCGAAAGGTGGTTGTGTGAGAGATCAAGAGTTTCAAGCCAACGCAAATTTCCGACCTTGGAAGGGATCTTTCCAATTAATTGATTCATGGACAAATTCAAGGTGCCCAACATAATGAGGCTGCTTATTTCTTTAGGGATTTCACCTTTTAAATTATTTGATGAAAGATCAATGCTCTTTACAAGATATAGAGTTGTGTTGTACACAAGTTCTTCTCCTTTTAGTGTTAGTGTGGCTTGCTCCAACACATCATAATTGTGTTCATAAGAATCATCATTGACTAGCGAAGTTAAGTTATCCAAACACATGGGAATAGTACCTGAAAGGCTGTTGTGACTAAGGTCGAGGATGTGAAGGCCCTGAAGATTGCACAGTTGCTGGGAAATACATCCACTAAAATAGTTGGACCGTAATCGTAGCCTAGACAACTTAGATATGTTTGACCCTCCTATCCATAGAGGTATTTTCCCAGATAACTTGTTGTCTCCAAGATCAATACTCCTCAAACTTGAACAATTTTGCAAGGCATCAGGAATTTCACCGCCAAAATTGTTGTCGTTGAGCTTTAAAATTTCCAGGGAACGTAGTACCCCCAATGAAGTAGGAATCTTACCAGACAGATTGTTTTGACCAACATCTAAAAACACCATAATGCTCTCCATATTCCATGCATGAGGGAGTTCTCCAGAAAACTGATTGCTCCTTAGAGACAGGATTTTTAACTTCTGCATGTTACAAATAGAGGGAGGAATAGTGCCATTCAAATGATTCCCATCAAGTAACAATTCTTGCAATTTGGGCATCATTTGGTCAATATTTGAGGGGATTGGCCCAAAAAATAAATTGCCTTCTAGATAAAGGGAATGGACATTAGGGAAACACCAAAGTGGTAGAGGGCCCTCCAACTGATTATGACTCAAATCAATAAACATTAAATTTGGAAATTTCAAATGGGAAGGAAAGTTTCCATGAAAGTGGTTGTAAGACAAGTCTAGATAGCCAGGTTGGGAAGATATCTTCAACAACCATTCCTCTGGTATGGAATCCGAGATTCCATTACCCAGAAGGGCAACATCAGACAGTTCAGTTTGAGTTTGAAGCCATACCCAAAAACCAGGACTTATCCGACAATTTATGATATAAATTATGAAGAGCTTGAAATGAGGAACCCTGTCATAAGCCCCGTCGAGAATGAGGGACATGGGTCGGTTTATATTTCCAACTTGAAAATCTTGTAATCTGGTAAGATTTATGAAATGGGCTTCCGTTAGAATGCCTTCCCATGAGTTACCAAGCAGAAGTAGGGAAACTAGCTCATAGAGCTGTCCAATACTTTCTGAAATTGAGCCGTTCATCTTATTATAACTGAGGTCTAGTGTTCTCAAGGACGACAAGTTTCCGATGGAATCTGGAATTGAGCCCGACAAATTATTAGAATTGAGGGCTAATGTTCTCAAGGATGACAAGTTTCCGATGGAATCTGGAATTGAGCCCCACAAATTGTTTTCTCCAAGGTTGAGAATCTGCAAACTTTTAAACATTCCTAAAAAGACCGGCAATTGGCTTTCAATCTGGCAATTAGACAAATCTAGTGACTCTAATGTATTACTTGGACAATTTGAGAGACTCCTCCAAAACTCTTCAATCCCCCCATCAAAGTTGTTCTCTGAAAGTCTTAAGACTTTTAGCTTGCACAAATTTCCACTGACTTTAGGAATTAGACCTTTTAAGCCTATTTCAGATGAATAAAGATTTTCCAGAGATTTGAAGTTTGAAAATTCACTTGGAAAAGAATCCCCGAAATCATTCCCGGATAGATCGAGTGTTACAAGGTTAGTAAGATTAAAAAACCAGCCGGGAAATGAAGAACTTTTAATGCCATTATACGACATATGAAGGACCAACAGTGATGTGAAGTTAATCCTTTGTAGTGAAAGTGGAATGCTTTCAATTGAGCACAAAGATAAATGTAACTCTAACAATGAAGGAAGCATGTTAATATCATATGCCCAACTGACTCCTGTGCTGCTAAGATCAACGCCATTGAGATTAATGTATTTCAGGGAAGTGAGGTGAGAAAGCCAATTCAAATTTTTGGAAGATAAGTCAAACACATTCTGGCTCCACCTGAGATCAAGAAAATTTAGGCTTGACAGGTTACCAATAGAAGAGGGAATCTCTCCTCTAAATGACGCATAGGAGAGATTGAGATATTGCAAACTTTTAAGCTCCCCAATGAACTTAGGAATTTGATTGCTATCAAACCAATTCAAGCTCAAGTCAAGGTAATTTAAATGTTTCAAGCTCAACAAAGAAGCATTTATCTTACCTCCCAAAGAAGCATTTCTCCGCTCTTCATACTCATCACGGTCAAAAAAGTCATATGGATTCCGGAGGTCCATCTTCACGACATGACCAGTGCTGTTGTTGCATGAAATACCTTCCCATTGGCAGCAATCATGACCCACCCAAGACGAAAGCCTACCAGAATGATCAACAAGATGTTGTTTAAAGACGAGAAGCGCTTGTCTTTCTTCATCAATGCATGAATTTGTCTTCACACTGCTTGAAATTTCTTCACCAGCCAAACAGAAACAGAGTTTAGTAGTACTCTGCATGCAGGAAGAGAACAAAAGCAAAAGAAGCAAATAGTGAGCAATACTACGGTGACAATGGCTATCCATTATGACACACAATTTTTCTTTGCTTTGTTGGTGAGATGTTTAGCTACTAAAATTAGTACGATATCGAATTTATAGGAAAAGATTATCGATGTAGGTAGGAGAGCTGAAAACGAAAGTCGTCGGATGGAGAAAAGAAAAAAAGGTAACTGAAATGAGTGGTGAGTGTTCACAGCCCCTTTTACAAGTTTGCAGGTCCTTTGTCGACACAACTGGTACTTGATTGTGATGGGTTGTTGAATTAAGGGTCTTCATGTTCCATCACAATTCACAACTTATCAACTTGCTTACAAAAAACAGATTTGGATATGTTGTTATATTTTACACCACACATGCTGGTAGACTAGAATTGAGGGTCTGCATGTGGAAGTCTTTGCACACCGATTAGTCTTTGGTGGAAAATCCATATGGCTAGCGGTGGAAATTCATAAATATAATTGATGAAGGGGATTGGAAGAGAAAAGAGAGTGGTAATTGGCAATGCAAGTGAGCATGACTTAATATTTGCGGTATTTTTTTTTTTTAAATACTAGCTATATTATCAACTAATTTATCTATTAATATGTTCACTGATTCGCATGCATTTACGAAATTGCAAAAGAGATGGACAGAGACAGAAGCTCTAATCCCTAACTCTATTTGCATTTTTAGGGGGTTCTTATCGTTTGGCCCGACTAGAGGAAGGGATGTGAGTCGTTCCCTTTTTCCCACTATTTGCATCTATACCAAGAAATGTTCCTTAAATCCACTTCAGTTCCCAAATGAAAACACTTTCTTTATATTTTGCTTATGTCCTTCCATGTGGTCTTGCAATAGAATAAACTTGTCACTAAAACTTTCATTAAAAAGTGGGTGAAAAATTAGACGACATTGTGGACATCATAGCACTCATTACTTTTTGATGTTAGGAGAAGAATCCACGAAAGGGTAGAAAATGTAATCATTCCGTATATAGTGCGTAGTACTGAAGAAAAAATGAACAAAATACACTCCATTTGTCCCAAAATCCCTCATAAAACTCTACATTATTACATAAATATCATTGGATACATGGAAGAATCAGAAGGAAAATGCAAGGCCATATGGTTTTAGTTACAAACCTGTTTAAACTTAAAGGGTCTTTTCCTGCCTAAATCAGCCAAATGTTTTTACCAAACACTAATTAATGAAACAAACCAACTTAGAAATTACACCGAATGCCAATCACCACCACCCATATATGTAAACATCGAAAAACATCACCTTATACACATCATCACACAAACCTAATCAGATCATCAATTACCCACATAGGCTGCTACTTCTTCACTGTAACAAATCCATGTTCTTGCTCTCAGCTTCTTCATCCTCGTCTTCTCACTTTCACTGTAACAAAACAATCTCAAAACGTTGAATTATATAAACACTTTCTACACTTTTACTAAATAGAATGAGAGATAACCAGCATCGGTTGAGAGTTTGGACAGGTTGAACTCCTAACTGGCGGTAAGTCCAAATTTTGTAGGATTGGTAATTTGTCAAAGCAGGCTCAACCATGCTCACTCTAACTCCGGACTGGCCAGACTGGTTCGGGTTCCACCCATCCATGAAATTGCAACCCTAGCTATGCCAAGTAAACAATTGTTTAACAAACTAACCTCCATTAGCTTTGTGATAAGCTGCACTTTTTCTCTGTTCTTTTTCATTGAAAAACTCAAGTGCATCTCGGTACTCCTTTTCCTGTGACAAGTTAAAAACCCAAAATTCATCACAAACACGCACGAATTGATCCATAATTGCATATGCATAGCAGTAAGCATTAACATCAAAATAGGGTAAAACCCCAGTTGTGTTACCTTCTTCTGGCAGGTTTGTCCTAGTGGCTTTAACTCTTTGCTAATCGCATCGATCTTCTACGAACTTGTGAAACATCCTTCCTCATCTGATCTGAGAGCCCTTCAAGCTCCTAGAAGTTCCATAATTTACGACAAAAAGAAAATTAATCATCTACTAATTGCTCGCAACCGATTCAACGGCTATATTTCTGGTTTAACCAGCAGAAGATGAAACACATGGGACACGGATGTTTTCAACAAGGCATCCTTGGACTTATATTCTTGTCGCAAACATAAACGAGTGACCAAATAAAACCTGACCATATGACAAATTTGAGGGTTTTGAGAAAGAAGAAGAATCTTTTTTTGGCCGTGTCAAAAAGTTTAAACTTCATTATTGAAATTCCATATTTTGTTGTGTAGAGAAAGGGATTTACAAAAATTCTGGAAATTAGTTAAAAAAAAGGGAATTACTTCCATCAGAGTTCATGGCCCTTGTAAAATACATGAACCAAAAATTCAAAAACAAAAATCCAAAAAAAAGAAAAAAAAAAAAAAAATATATATATATATATATATATATATTAAGTTGAAAAAAAACCCAATTTATCTTCATTTCATGTAAATTGATCATAGTTTTGCTCAACACAAACAGATCTACTCTACAATCGTCGTAGAGTAGACATTAAAGCAAGCCCAGCATTGCTGGTTGCTCGACGGAGGAGAGAAAAGGGGCCTGAGGCCCTGTGGCCCAGCTCCAGCATTGGAGAGCCCGAGTGGAGGTGGAAGCCCGAGCTCCAGGCCCGTAGAGAATTGCCAGCCCGAGAGCCTGAGGCCCTGTGATGCCAGCGCTGGCGTCAGGCCTTTTTTAATTTTTTTTCTGTCGGGCGCGTGCTGACACACCCCGACCAAGATCAGGGCATGCTGGCCGTCACGTGGAAGTGACGTAGCCATGTGCACAGTGCGGAAGCTAAAGGAATTAATATAAAAGTACGAATAATTTAAAAACTAGCATATATAATGGGATAAAATAAGTGCTAGTGTAAGTAAGACACTGAATTCAGAGCATAAAGACTACAGCAGTCCAAAGAAAATGATACGACAGTAGTACACCCGAAGGTGACCCTACACTGGTGAGTGTCTGTCAGAAATGCTGAGACGCCCTCTGGGAAAACCACCGAATCCGCTAAGCTACTAGAACCTGGAGGGGCGCAAAACAAAAGTGTGAGTGGGCAAAAACAAAGCTCTTTGAAAACCATTTAGTAAAATATATTCTAACCCCTCGCCGTAAAACCTGTATACTTCCCAGAAATAAATATATATATACGTATGTATAAATATGCCAAACATGCTCAATGATATGCCATTTCAAAGCCTCATAATGATATGCAAGTGCTCAGGTATAAATCACATCAATAGCATAACATCTGGTAGCCGGAGTCCCCTAAGTGACCTGTACGGCTGAATCTAGAGCTCAAATCTCAATCTCAATCACTAAACCTGCCCACGAGTCGGAACCACCTATAGTGGTTTGTACGACAGGCCTGGGTGTCATACATATAAACGCTCTAGTGCTATGATCATGTGAAGGCTGTGCGAATAATCGCGGGTCACCTACGAGTCGGAACCACCTAAAGTGGTCTGTACGACAAGACTGTGCACCTAACTTGGATCCAAGCTGAGCGTGTGGTGTGGGAGGTGAACGACACGTGAATGACTGTGCCCTACTCTGGGCGGGAGCACTAACACCGGGGGTGCAGGTTATGAGCTCTCTAAGCATCTCGAATCACCATTTAATGCAAAGGTTAAATAACGCTTACCTGGCACTTACCTGCGCCTCCACAGCACCAAATATAAATATGTATATGTATGCCACTACTGATGCATATGATAATGCATAAACAATAAGGATATGGTGCATGGCATAAAACGAATAACCCTTTTTAACTATTTCTGGGAATATAAATGTATATAGGTATATACGGAAAACCAAAAGCCCACTCACTGGTATGTGGAAGGGTCGTAGCCCCCTGCCTCGCGTGAGCACGCTCGTCCTCGGGATACGTGTCACCTATATGCGAAGATACTATAAAAACGTTAATTTTAAAGCACATAACCTTCCGTTCAAAATAACTTCTCATACATTGCTCAAAATGGACAATTGAATATACCAACGTGCTCTACATAACCTCAGGAACACAACCATATTTTTAGAAAATTTTTTCACCGCCGCACGCGCAGCCACGCGCAGGCACGTGCGGTGCACACGGACGGTGTCAACTGACGCCGTTAGGAATATTCCATCAAAACTGACAGATTCTGTTAACGGCGTCAGGAATATTCCGTCAGAATCCTGACGGAATATTCCGTCACCTTCTCCGGCGAGACTCCGGCGCCATCGCCGGAAAACCTGTAAATCGTGTTTTCTCGCTCGTTTCTCAACCGTTTTTCATGATTTTTGCACCAAATTAAACCTTAGAACTAGGAGAACACGTCCAAACAAGTTTTAAGGTCTAAAACTACAAGATTATACCTGTCCAAAAACTCCATAACCGGCCAAACTCGAACCAGGCTATTCTGACGTCCACTTCCGTCCAACGATACACTCCGAGGTTCCTTGGGACCTTACAAACACAACTACAAGCTTCAAAAGTCCAAAAACATGCTAGATCAATGTTTGCATGAATAGTGCTCAATCGGAGGTTGTGAAATCGACGTGAAAATGACTGGTTTCTCACCTGAAAATGATATGATCGTGCTCCCCTCGACATCACGATCACGACTGAGCCCTTGGTTTCCTCAATCTGTGGGTGTAGAATGTGGGTGTGTGTGTGTCCGTACGTGTATGGTGAAAAGGAAGGGGAAAGAGAACTCGGGAGAGAGAGAGAGACATGGAAAGGTGGAGTGTGTGGCTGCGTGTGTGTGATTCTCAAACATGCCAACAAGGCACACAAACAACCAATAACGTAAACGAACTAGCTAGAGGCAAAATGGTCATTTCATACGTACGTTTCGATAGCTTCGGGACGGGATATCACACGTGCACCCCACTCACGCGTGGGCGCGCGTCGCCGACACAAAATCAGAAAAGAAAAAAAAAATTGCTTTTTCAGTTACCGTTGGCTCTCAACGGATCTTTAATTTGGACCGTTCGATCTCAACAAGTCTTATTTAATATCCACCGTTCGATCTGAGATCAACGGTGGATATTAATATGCTTTATAAATAAAAAAATAAAAGAAAAAATAGTTTTAAAATTAAGAAAAGTTAATGTTGTGACACGTGGCACAATCTGGAGTGTTGGAATTCAAATT